TAGAAGTGTATTTTCTGGACCTCTGGTGTGCTGCCATCCCTGGTTAGCAGCCCTTGAAGCTCACTGTGTCCACAAGGTTTTATGATAATCCAAGGGAGGAAATCCTGTGTTTACTGCACTTATGAAAATTGCCATTTTGAGATGGTCCTCTCTTTGATTCATTTGCATACTTTGTCTTATCTGACTTGAGCTGATTGGCAAGGATTATAAATCCCTTAAGCAGGGACTGTCCTCCCCTTTGTTTTGCAGCACAGGGCTTTCCTGGGCAGCTGCATGTCTAGACTGCTTTTTTCTTTTGCTGTTTAAGACATCAGAGTGGGTCTGCGCATGGGGAGGAAGCAGTTTGTGTCCTTAACACTTCCTATGAGCACAGCTAAGCACCAGACCTGCCATTTTTCCCTTCCTTTGTACCACCTATGAGTGTTGCCACTCAACTGCATGTTTTTCCCATCACTTTTAGGCTTCGGGCAGCCTCGGATAAATACCTGAGTAAGAAGGGCTGCAGTTGCTTGTTTTTCTTTCTGTTGTTTCCCCTTCTACCTTTCTGTGTCTGCTCCACACTAAAGAAAAGCATCAATCGTTGCTCAGGGTAAAAGCCTAAGAAACAGAGCACACAAGGGATACATTTCTATAGCGGCAATAGAGAATCTCATCCCCAGCTGTGGGCTTCAGAAAGCAGAGTTTCTACCAACGCTGAGACACACCAGAGTTTAGTACTAGGAGCTGAAACATCAGCAGCATGCAGTGCTCGGGTGAGCCGTAGAAGAGCTGCTGTTGGCCCGTTTGCTGATTGTCTGCCTGTCTTTCTCACCTCCCCCCTACAGGACAGCCCACCTGAGGAGCTGCTGGAGACTGGAGCACCGACTGCTGCTGCCACAAGGCCCCGCCAGCCAGACACGATGTACTGCCTCCAGTGGTTGCTGCCTGTCCTGCTCATCCCCAAGCCCCTCAACCCAGCCTTGTGGTTCAGTCACTCAATGTTCATGGGCTTCTACCTGCTCAGTTTCCTCCTGGAGCGGAAACCTTGCACAATCTGTGCCTTGGTCTTCCTGGCAGCTCTGTTCCTCATCTGCTACAGCTGCTGGGGGAACTGCTTCTTGTATCACTGCACAGGATCCCAGTTGCCAGAATCAGCTCACGATCCCAGTATAGTGGGCACCTAGAAAACTATTATCTTCCTGTTTGTTGACAGCTCTGGTTTTGCTTTTAATTGGGGGGGAGGGTCTAGGGAACAGGGTGGGGGTGTGTTAGGCATGTGGTTGAAGTAAAAACAGCCTATTTCCTGTAATGTATGTGTGGACTAGAGTGGTAAATTCCTGACCAGCCCTCCCACTCTGCCTATGAAATTTGACTTGTTTACTGTGTGAACTCTTGCAGCGCCACCTGCTTTTTTAGAAGCAGAATTTTTTTTCCTTCCCATATCACTGGGAATGGACACCAGCCCTCCTATCTGAGAACTGGTGGAGGAAAGAGCTGTTGGCCTCTGACTGTTGCACGGTGGTGGAGTTGTGTGTCACTCTCTTGTTGGCCACGGTGATCTAACACTGATTCTGCTCAAGTAGCTCCAGGATCCTCTCCATCCTTCACTTTGTGGGGAGCCAGCCTTCTCACCTTGCTGATCAAAGGACAGTTCAACAGCTCTCAGATGCACTTGGCCAAAAGCTGCTGGAGCCAGAGGCAGTTGAGTCATCTCCTGCTGCTCAGCCTGCCAAAGAGATGTGTGCACTGCCCAAGTGCTTTCTGAACTACTAATGCTCCAAGATCATAGCCTGAAAGCCTCAGTTACACTGCTGCTTTTATAAAGCCTCACAGGCAGCAGACTGCCTCTTCCCCTGCTAGATTTCCAGGGTTTACCAAATTATTGACTGCAACAAGATGTGGGATTTTTCAGAATCTCTATGAACATCACCTGAGAAAACCAAACAGTGGCTCAAAAGTCTGGGTGCGTGCAGAGCAAGAGAAGATCCTGAGGTGTAGGCATGGCCTGAAGCCAGCAATGCCATCAGTGGGCAAATGATTTTCTATGACTGTTCTCAGGCTGATGGTGACAGAAGGTGCTGATTCTGTGGCTTGGTGATGGAGGCACTGGGTACTCCTCTGTCCTCTCCCTGGCTCCCCTGGGTGGTGGTGGGTTGCTTGCACACAGGCACTGTTGTGCAGAGCTTTGCCCTGCACAGTTCTCTCCATAGAAGTGGCTCTTGGGGAGCCTTCCCTGGGGCAGCAGCTTGCTTATGAGAAACTGAAGTCAACACCAAGTATTGACTACACTGTATGAGAGTTCCCTCAATTGCCATCTGCTCATCTTCAATCTCAAAGGGGAACACAGCAGAAGTGGCTGCTGCTGTCCCAAGGAAGTTCAGGCTATGAAATTGTGAAACTTCCAGAATACTGTTTGTTCATTGCACAGCTGTTCAAAATGTTTAATAAAGCTTTATAGACTTTGGTCTGTGGACTATTGCCCTGACTACTGTTCGTCACAGCTGCCTTAGCCCAGCAGTCATGCAGCTCGGTGTTGTTCCAAGCACGGTAATGCAGTCTCTAGCAAGAGGCAGAGCCCGTTGGCCCTGTAACTCCCAGTGCTGACTCCTCTTTAGCTGTTTAACCCTGGGTGAGCCAAGGAGCGTGCTGGCAGTTCCCAGAACAAGCTCACTTTGCACACAACACAGCAGGTGCTTCTGGCTGCATCCCTGCACTTCTATGACAGATTCCTCTCCTCTCCTCGCAGCTTAAGGAAGGCACAGAACTGACAGCCTAATCCCCAGCAGGGAGCCGTTCCCTGCAGAGGCACTGTGAGCCCATCCCACGCTGCCCAGTGCTGTGCCTCGTGTCAGCCCCTGCCCGCAGCTCTGCCCAGCTCATGAGATGGGCTCGTGGAAGCGCTGTGCCCGGCTACAACCAGTTATCAGCACACGTGGAGCCAAAACGCACTGCTGGAACCAAAACCAACCTCTGCCCTCACTCCTGGCCACTGAGTCCAAGTTGGAAAGCATCCAGCATGTATCTGTACGTTTTAAAGTGCGTGCCACATCACTGAGGGGAGACGTGACAGCTCTGTCACCGAGCTACAGGGAATCCCTGTAGCTGCCAGTAGTTACAGCGTAAATAAACAGAAGAGAAAGGTACAGCTCGTTTGCAAGGCAGTGCCATGCAGTTGGAGCGCTCTGAGCAGCTTTTAGGTTTTGTTTATTTAAGCTATGAGGATTGTTTTATTTAAACTAATGCAGTCATCTCTTTTAAGAGTCCATTTGGGTTGCTAACTAACCAAGCTGCACTTCGCTGCAATTTAAATAAATCCTAGCCACAAAGCCAGACAGCTTGGGTGAGAGCAAGCCCTGCCTTCGCCCATCAGCCCGACCCAGGACGCGGCTGCGGCTTCCCCAGTGCGAGGCCTGGCGTGGGGAGCGCGGCACTTCAAAAGAGGGACAGAGGCGGCGGCAGAGATCTCGACCGATGCTTAAGCAGCGTGCTTTTCGTGGTGCTCCCTCCCCAGATGTGGTGACGAGCCCTTTGATATGCACAGAGCCCTCACGGAGTGCTATCCGACGCTTCACAGCGCTGAGATACCATCTTCATTTTGAAGATAGAAAATTAAAGCAACTTCATCGCGGTCAGACAGACAGCCCGAGGTAGAGCAGGAACCCAGCCGGGATCCCATGCTAATGCCCTGATCCCCAGCTCATCCTCTATGAAGAGACCGCGAAAAACCAGCCTGCAACTGCAGAACAGGTCAAACCCGACCGCGTACCAAGAGCATCATCACGGCTTGTGCTCGTGTGCTGCGAATTGGACAGAGCCCACGCGAGTGCAGTGCCTGCTCCAGCTGCACAGCAGCATCGCAGTGCTCCCTGAGAGCCACCCCACCAGGAGGGCAGCACAGCTTCAGCACTGCGGTCCCTGCCTGCCCTCGGGACCGAGCAGTGATGAGGAAAGCAACGGGACTCAGAGCAGAGCGGTGCCAGGTCCTACGGAGCCCAGGCACTGCCCAGAAGGGATCTGGCACAGAACACCTCATCACCTTGCTTTATAATAAGGTGTCCATCTGCCTCGTGTTCCCTGGTTGCAGGAGCCTTAAGCCATCCCTTTGCCTTTCCATCATAACGAGGTCATTTTCTAGGTCACCCAACAGAGAAGCAGCATGGTGGGGTCAGGAGAGGAAAACAACGTCAGCCTTGACACAAGCACACCCTGCTCTGCACCAGGGGCCCTTCTGCTGGGTCTGGGCGATAGGAGAAACCCCAGAGCCAGACCAAGACTCACTCCAGGGCACTGCAGCCCACGCAGTGGGTCAGGGCTGCTCCCTGTGTGGTCACAAACGCAGAAAATACACAGTGGGGCTTCCCCACATCCCAACCCCAGCTCTACAGAACCCCTGCCCCACTGCAAGGACAAAGCCCAGGGCTGCAGGGCTGTGAGGCATTCACCACCAAAGATGCCCTCTCCATCACTTAATTACTTTAGCAAGTAAATCATAAAGCATTAAACACTTAAGATGATGAAATCAACTCACCAGCCCTCAGAGGCAGAGCAGCACGCAGGGCACCAGAACCACCACAGGTCACTGAGGCTCAGCCACAGCCCCACTCTCTGAAGGCCTATTCCCACAAATCAATTACTTCATCACCAACTGAGGGATTCCAATCAGCATCCACTAATTACCCTAATGAAGTAAACCTGCTCCCAGCCAGCTCACTGAGCAGCAGCTGAAGGAGGCTGCAATCAGCACAGACAGGGGTGTCCCAGGGCAGATGGATACAGGACAAAAGCTGTGTGTGCCCCATAGTTCCCTCACCCAAGTGATGCTCCCCCCCAAGACAACCCTGAGAGCCATGTGGGACCCTTTGGGGATGCCAAGAGGTCCTCCTTCACCATACACAACCCACAGCCATCTGTTTGGTGAGGTCTGTTTGTCTTTAATTATCAAATTGCAAAGTATTTACAACACCATCATCAGTTTCAAAGCGTCTCCACCCTCCCCAATCCCCCCACCACACCAGACATGGTCAGGTTTTTCCAAAGTTTTATTATTATCACAAAAAAAAAAAAAAAAAAAATTCTTACTTTGACACTGAAAGAGGCAGAGGAGGAGTGGGCCGGGAGAAAAACAGATCCACACGTCCTCTGCACAGTTGATGGGAGATGTTACAAAATGCTTTAAAAAATGGTACCAGCAGTAGAGAACGTCTCACACAGAGCTGCTTTGTGCCAAACAACATCACTGTGGGGGGTGGGGGGGAAGTAACCCCCTGCTCTTCACTGGCTTCAGCAACAGACCAGCAGTGGAGGGGAGGGCACGGGTGGGCTAGCAGCCCCCAGCGCTGCTCCATGCTACAGGAAACCAAAGGCTGTGTGTCCACGCGTGTGTCTGCCTTTTTTCCCCCTCCCCAGCTCTTGGCTCACATCTGGCTACTGCCCACTCCCACGTGCTGCTCTCAGAGCTTTTCCCTACGGCTGCAGGCACTGTGCACACTGTGTGGTGATGGCACACAAACGTCACGGGATGCGGAGGTTAAAAGGTTGGGGTGCAGCAGACTCTGCACCAAGGTGGGCACAGGAAATGTGCTGGGGGACGAAGGGCTCTGAGTCCCATTGTGAGTACAGAAATTCATGGAAACAGTCCTCCAGGCCGAGGTGGGGTCCCTCCATACTGCTAAGAGCCCCTCCGTACTGAGTTCACCATTAAAACAGAGCCACCGACTGAGAACTTGGGTAATAAATAAGATGCTGGGGAGCGAGTGGGAGGCAGCAGCAGCTCAGCTTGGTGCTCCGGAGGCATTTTTGGCACTGGGTGAGTGATGGATAAGAGGTCCAGGACACAGGTGGCGATGGTGTGATGAAGGGCTCCAGCTGGGGACAGACGAGGACAGATGTTGGCGGTACCACAGGAGGAACACGACAGCACATGCAGCTTGATCAAGTAGTGGGAGGTGCTGGAGGGCTATGTACAGGGTGGGTGCTCAATGGGTGCTGCTGCGGACACTGGGCTGTTCATGGATCATTGTGACCTCCAACACACGGTACTGACAGCGAGCAGGGAGCAGCTGGGCCTGCGAATGGCTCCCGGTAGCTCCGTGCTCCCTGATATGGGGATGGCAGAAGCAGGGGGGATGGCAGCTAGGAACACACCAGTGGACAAAAGCAGTGCTAAAAGACAAGTAATTTCCCAAAACACTGAGTCCTGCGCCCAAGAACAGGTGAGTGCTGGAGGAAGGGAGATGGCCAGCCTCCATCCCAAGGTCTGCACTTCAGCTGCATCCGATTCAAAGCAGTGCCTTCCCCATCACCAAACGTCTCTGCAAACAGCCTCGGGCAGATCAGAGTGAAGTGGGTGGTTGAATGGGTGAAGAAATTTGTGCTGATTTTAAAAAGGGGGTGCAGGAGGTGTGGGGCAGTGTGTCTGAGGTGGGAGAGGCTATCCCCCAATTTCTCTGGCTGCTGTGAGAAGAGGGTCCTGAAAGCCGTGGCTGTGCCAGGAGCCATCCCGCTGCTCCGCTCACCATCCTGAGCCCCAGCTCCACTGGTGGCAGTGCCCAGGGCTCCTCTCGCCACCTCGTTAAGTGTGGCCCAGCAGTTTTAACGAGCAATGGGGCAGCCGGCACCTCACCATGCCACATCCTGCTCTGGGGCTGCTCCCCAGAACGTGGCCCCTCTGCATGGAGCCGGCCCTCTGTGCCCCACAGTGAGGCCTCTGGTGCCAGGAGGAGCTCCAGGTCTATAGGTTCTCTCCAGGCTGGTACTGGGGCTCTGTCGAGGTGAAGTAGTCCTCCAGGAAGGCCTGCAAGTACTCAAAGGTGGGCCGCTCCTCAGGGTCCTTCCGCCAGCACTGGCACATGAGGTCGTGCAGCGACTCGGGGCACTCGGGCGGGCAGGGCATGCGGTAGCCTCGCTCCACCTGGTCCAGCACCTCCCTGTTGACCATCCCTATGGAAAGAAGGGCAGCAGGGCCGGGTCACGCACTGTGCCCAGCCCGTGGAGCGTGGGGTTGGTGCCAGCTCTCACCTGGGTACGGCACCCGGCCCTTGGTGGTCAGCTCAGTCAGCAGGATGCCGAAGGACCAGACATCCGACTTGATGGTGAACCGGCCGTACAGGGCCGCCTCGGGGGCCGTCCACTTGATGGGGAACTTGGCGCCTGGACCGGGAGGCAGAGTGAGGGGCTGCTCCCCTCTGCAGCCCACGGACCCCCAACCTCAGGGCCTGGGGTACCGAGCCACCAACATCACCAGATGTTCCCAGGCCCCGCTCACACCTTGCCGTGCTGTGTACTCGTTGTCCTCAATGAGGCGTGCCAGCCCGAAGTCAGCCACCTTGCACACCAGGTTCTCCCCCACCAGGATGTTGGCTGCCCGCAGGTCTCGGTGCACGTAGTTCATCCTCTCCACATAGGCCATGCCAGATGCAATCTGCAGGGCAGAGTGTGGGGACCGAGCTTTGCAGGGGACAAGAGGACCCCACCATGGCAGGGATGGCTCCACAGCCAGACCCGATCCAGCTAATGGGAGCCAGGGTGCAGGAGGAAAAGGAAACAGGAGCCCACCTGAGCAGCCATATCAACGAGCTGTGGCAGCCGCAGGTACTTGCCCATCTCTCCCTTCAGGAAGTCCAGGAGGCTCCCTGTGAGGAAGACAACGGTCACCAACAAGCAGAGCCATTTCTCTGGTCACCCAGCAGCCCTCCTGTGCTCACCCTTGCTCATGTACTCAGTGACGATGTAGATGGGCTCCTCTGACACCACTGCATACAGCTGAACCAGCTTCTCGTGCCGGAGCTTCTTCATCACCTGGGCTTCCTGTAGGAAGGCCTCCGGGGACATGGTGCCGGGCTTCAGGGTCTTTATGGCCACTCTGGTGGTGCCATTCCAGGTCCCTGCAGCACAGGACACATTTACAGGGCTGCCCTACTGCTGCAGATGATGACACTGCGTGTGGCCGTGGCACCAGGGCCAGAGCTGTCCTTACCCATCCAGACCTCTCCAAAGCAGCCCTGCCCCAGCTTCACCTCCAGCCGCAGCGACTCCCGGGGGATTTCCCATGCATCTTTGGCGAGTCCTTGGGTCTGGGGCTTGGATGTGGGGCAGACGTTGGTCAGGCGGTGGCACAAGCCATCAGCATGTTCTAGCACAGCAGGGACAACATGATGCATGGCATTTGGATGCATGACGTCTTCCTTGCACAACACCTTGGGCACCCACACTCAGACCCCTTCTCCTCTTTCTCAAACCCAAGCGGCGTTTCACCAGGGTCTGCCCACCTGCTTCAGCGCCAGCACTGGCATTCCCTTCACAAAACCATCTAGGTTGGAAAAGACCTTCAAGATCACCAAGTCCAACCATCCCATCACTAAGACACGTCCCTTAGCTCCACATCCACATAACTCAAACACCTCCACGGATGAGGTCTCCACCACTACCACCTTTTCATGAACAAACTCTTCCCAACACCCAACCCAAACCTTCCTGGCATCACCCAGACCCCAAGGGATGTGGGCAGGTGCTCTGGCCATACGCACTGGAGTAGTAGGCCACCAGCTGCTGCAGGCTGCCGAACTGTGTGCGTGAGGTGATGTAGAAGCCACCGCTGTCCAGCTTGCGGATCTTGTAGTGCTTCACATTGAGCCCCTTGGCGTTGTCGAAGTCGGAAACAGAGAGGCAATAGGCACCTGAGGGCACAACCGAGTGGTTCGGGGACTGCACAGGAACCCCACCGGGGTCGGTGCAGCAGGAGCAGGCTGCGGGTTTTACCTCCAGAAAGCACCTCTTATCTATCACTTACAACCACTGCCACAGCCAAGTAGCACTATAAGGCATAGGGAGCAAGGTGGCAGCAACTGGGGGTGTAGGGAGGGATGGGGGGCTGCAGACCCAGTTATACACTCCTACATCCTGCTACGCGCATCGCTTCCAGAGCCTGCCTCTCCTGTGCCCACACAGCTGGGATAGCACAAGTCTGGGGCCACAAACAGGGAGAGGGAAGGCTGCTGAATGAGCTGCTTCCAATGGAATAAAGTAAATGATGCCAAGCTCAAAGCATCAAAACAGAAAAAAATATCAAGGAATTTTTCCCGAAGGGGTATTTGGAGCTAGACTAAAGCATGCTTCCAGGTAAGAAAATGTACCCTCAGAAAGCCAAGTTATTGAGATCAAACTTGCACATTTGGAAGGAAAAAAACAGGGATAAAGAATCATTAGACTTGAAAGGGCCTAAAATCCATCATCGCCTCCACCTAGTTCTTCACAACTGAGATTTTGCCATTACACAGAGGCTGAAAAAAACAAAACTCATTTGCCCAGGGGCAAAAATAACACAAAAAAAAGCCCAGGAGAGGATATAGTGTTGTTCCCAACATTTTAGAGTTATGTGGGCACATCTGTGGGAAAACCATTAGTGGGTAAAACCAGGATGTCGTGCATGGGACACCTCAGTCTCCAGCTTGGATAATGGGACAAGAACAGAGTGTGAAGGGGACATCTATAAAAACGAGTGAAACTGCAGGTGAATGCAGTGCAGGAGGCTCATCTCCTTTGGTACACCTATGTTAGGGGGATTGGGAGCACGCGGTGGCCAAGTGCTGGAGGACCCTCCAGGGCTGCTCCGTGGCTCTGGCAGAGGAAGGAGGGAAGGGGGAATATCAGGGATCACCTTTTGTCGTCTCGCTCTCCCGGACCAGGAAGGTTCCCCGGGGGTTTTCAGGGTTGAGCAGCAGCCGCTCGGACTCCCGACGAGTGATCTTCCCAAAGTACCACCTGTGGGAACGAGCAGCAGGCTCACAATCACCGAGCAGAGCTCCGCTCAGCACCCTCACTCCAAAAGCCTCCCAAAACGTGGGTAGCTCGAGGTCGCCCAGCTCCCGTGCTTTTGTCGCTGTGGGCAGCTGTGTGACTTCTGCTTTCCATACGCAATGGTCACTCTGTGTCACCGGGGTCCTAATCTGCAAATGCAGAGTTTGCAGTTTCCCTGTGCCTGGAGGCGAGGCCACACAACCACCAAACACACAGAGCTCCGTGTGCCTCGAGGAGAGGCAGAAAAACGCTCAGCGGGTTTAGAAACAAAACAAAATGGAAAAGAATAAGCAAAAAATAAAACCAGACAGATGTCCTTCAGGTTTTGCACGGGGGAGAGAGGGACAGCAGAGAGGGAAAAGGTGCTCAGCGAATGCTTTTGTCATTGTTTGCTTCAAAACTGTCTAAAAATGGCAATTACTCTTCAGCCTGGATGGAGTCTGAGGGCGCGACATAGTTACTGGGGATGTAGCCCGTCTGTCCTGTAGTGAGGGAATGAGCCAGCCACCAGTCACCTTCCCTGCAAGAGAACCAAAACACACTCAGTGTGAAGCCAAAGACCCCACAGCACCCCGGGTCGGGCCCTGTCCCACCTCTGGGCACTGTCCCACTGAAATGTGGGATGGAGAAGAGCCAGCAGAGCCCAGTCCGAGGGGACAGCAGCGAGCAGCACCCACACCCAGCCTGCAGCAGGACCCACTCCCCACAGAGACCCCAAGGAGGGCAGCGGTGAGCCCCCCCAGCCCCAAATCCTTTAGGGGCTCCAGGATGAGCAGCACCTCCATGGTGCGTGTCGTCCATAAAGGAGGGTGTCCTTGCTGGACAGAAAGCAAGGCAAACACCTTTGGAGCCACCTGAATTTGAGCTGGGTCTGGCTGGAGATTTGAGAGGCAATGGAAATCCCAGTGAGCAGATAAGCAACAGGGGAGGGAGAGGAAATGGGAGAAAAGCAACAGAATGATGGCAGTGATTAAAAAAGGCGCCAGGAGAAACAAAAGAAGGCAGAATTTGTTAAACACAGGCTGCACAAAAGCAACAAAAGGGAGAAAATAAACGAGTGACAGAGAGGGGTGGAAAACCGATCCAGCGGGCACAGGGCAGCCATGCTGATGCCACAGGGAGGGGGGATGAGAGCTGCCCTATGGGCAAAGCCTGGCTGTGGTGCAGTGGATTCAACCCCTTGTGGCACAGATGAATACCAGTGCTATCCCCAAGCTCTGGGGCTGCCAAGAGGTGGCCGCAGGTGCTGGCAGGGTGCAGGAGCCTTTGTCCGCTGTGTTCCGTGCCCTCCCCATCACACCCCACAGGCTGCTGAGCAGGAAAGGACAATGAATGGACCCCAGGAGACAGCTTCCCCTTCCAGGCAGGCAGCAGGGGGTTCCTCCACCACCGCTGTGTCCTCAGCCATCAAAGACAGCCGTTTCATTTATTCTGACCGCCAGGAAGATGGGGCTGCAGGGAAACTGCAGCTCCGTGAGAACAGTGCAGCAAGGACCAGAGGGCTGCAGCCCAGCACCTCACTGTGTGCCCGGGACAGGGGCAGGAGCTGCCTTGCTTCTGTTCCCACGGGGCCAAAGTGAACGTCTGCTGGGAAATGGCCAAATCCTGACTGGCGGCTCTGTTCCAGCACGGGCTGAATGGCTGTCATCTGGGAATTTGGCAAAACAAACTATTCCAAAAACGTCGCAGCAGGAGGAGAAAAATCATCATCGGCATCAAAACAAAGCATTTCAACAATTCCCTGCACAACTCTACCCGGAACACCCTGTTACATCCCTGCTGCCTGACTGGGAAGGGACCTGCTCTGCTGGGAGCAGTACTGAGATCCTTCCCGCACTGGGTGTGTGTGTTTGGCCATCAGGGAGGGGGAAGGTCACTGCTGGCCTCTGGTAGTATGCAGAGCAGAGAGCTGCACGCCCAGTCTGGTACAGCAGCTGGGATGCACCAAACACCTCACATGAAGGCTTTCTGTGCACAGCCAAAGCTCTGCAAGCAGCACATCCCAAACTTCATGGAGTAAAGCCATTAACAAACAGTGAGAGTTGGAACGAGGACAACAGGGACCCAACCAAAAACACATTGCTGGGTCACTGCAGCAGTGCTTACTGTAGACAGCCCCACACCCCTCTGCTTGTTGCAGAGCTGCAGGGCTGTGCTGGGCACGTGCTGTGCATCTGGACAGAGCACACCAGCATTGCATCACTCATCAGCCTGGCCTCTGCCCCATGCTGTGCATCCGGCAACAGATGGATGTGCTCTTATGAGTGGGACGTAGAGCAAAGAACCAGACCTTATGGAAGTATCCCAATCCCCAGAGTGACTCATTAAAAAAAAGAGGAAATGAAAAAGGAAAAACAAAAATAAATGGAAAACCAAAAAGACCAGGAAGGAGCAGAAACCCAAATGAACCAGGACTGCAGAGGGGCAAAACAGACAGGTGGGGTGCAGCTCTGAGTGGGCAGCAGGCAGGCTTTTACCAGGAAGGTCATTGACAGTAATCATACCCCCCAATACACACCTGACATCCACTTTTCTCCTACACGAATGCATGGCATGCAGAGAGAAAAAACATAGTCAGGACAGAAGCTGAGATCAGAGGCACCGCAGCAGCATGGAGAGAAGCACCTGAGGCAGAGGAGATGCATCTGGGCCAATGAGAAGCAGCTGAGTGCTGATGGGGCCAGGGGACCTGGGCCAGGGGACCTGAGCTGGCCACAGGACAAGGAAAGGACTTGGAGGCAGGTGCAAGGAGGACAGGGGAGCAGGGCAGCCCGATGTCTTTGGACATGTCACTGGGAGAGGTGGCCCTCCGCAAGGCTTGGCTTAGGGATCCCCAGAGCTCCCAGAAGGAGTGAAGCTGATGCAGGGTGCGTTGCAGGGACACTCACGTGTTGTTGACAATCTGCAGGCGTTCTCCTTTCTTGAAGGACAAGTCTGTCTCAGTCCGGGACTCGTAGTCGTAGAGAGCCACGAAGGTGGTGACACCGCCTGCAACACGGATCGCTCAGGGCTCTGACGTCCCACGTCCCACCGCCCGCCCTCCAGATCCCAGACAAAGCCCCCCAGTGGCAGGAGGACCCATCACCACCACAGGAAGCTGGAACCCAATCCCACCCACAGCTCACAGACTCTCCATGCCGCACTGACCAGCCAGCGCCCCAGCACGCTGCGGTGACGTGACGGTGTCAGAAGTGTTGAAGCCCCCAAAGAGTTTGGGCTCGGTGGCCACGGTCCCGAAGGAGCGGCTGGGGGTGCGGTGCGTGTCGGGGGCTGCTGTCTTGTTGGGGGTCTGCGAGGCTGGGAACCCCCCGTGGTGGGCGCTGTCGGGCGGCTCCAGGCTGCGCCGGCGCTGGCTAGGGTCCTTGGGTTTGCTCTTGCTGCTCCCCATGGCGGTGGGCTGGGAGAGACAGAGATGTGTGTGCAGAAGGTGTTTAATAATAATAATAACAGCCCAAAAAGAAGAGCTGGAAGGCAGAGCTGCTGCCACACGCAGTCACGGCATGGCACGTTGTTCCCGGTGCCCCAGAACCTTTCCTGCACGCCGTCAGCACTACAGCATCTGCATGGCCATGCTTCAGTGCACAAAAGGATCTCTGTCAGGTCACGGATGGGACACAGACAAACACTCATAGGTAAGACCCAGACAAATATTCACAAGCTGGGATTCCTCCAAACTCACAGAACCCACAGCTGCATTTAAATGCTGAGGATGCTCAAGTGAAGCCCAAAGCTCGCAGCAAAGCAAACCCTCAGAAAAACCGAGCGGGAAAAGCTTCAATCAGGAGCAGTTTAAGGCAGTTAGCAGCTAAAGACCAAGGGATCACTGCTTTATATATAGTCCTGCTTTCCCTTCCACTCAAGATCATGGTCTATAAATACCTCCAAGGTAATGATATAAATGAAGGAAGGGAATTATTCGCAGTCTCCAAAGATGGCTGGATACACAGCAGTGTCCTGAAGCTACGGAAGGGAATATTTAGGCTAGATCACGCGTGGCAGGATGGAGAAGGGAGGTGGAGAATCTCTCTAGTAAGAAAATCCAGGCAGGCAGGAATGGAGGCAGGAGAACAGCAGGGAAAGCAGGTTCTTGCGAACAAGGAAAGCCCCCTCCTGTAACGTGAGCCACCCCATCTCCTCAACCCCTGCTCACCTCCGCAGGGTTCAGCACCCGCCGTGCTGCCGGGGCCGCAGGGATGTGGCCAGGGGCTCGTGACAGCCCACGCGGCTGTGAGCAACGAGCAGCTTCCCCCAGCATGGCACTTCCCCAAGCAGCGAGCACCAGGGCGGGCAGTGGGGGCTGAGCTGCAGCCCTGAGGTGCACCCAGCAGCACCCTCCCAACCCCAGCCCAGAGCACAACAAAACAACCAGACTGCAAAAACAGCCGTGGGCAGCAGCGACAGGATTTGTGTGCAATGTGCCATGGGAGTGCCTGGAGCTGCACACTCAGCTCACACACAGCACAGCTGATACCCACTGTTTGCACATCTTGCCCACCCAGCACCCGCAGGAGGGGACCCCCCGGCCATGCCTTACCTGTACGTCCCAGATACTGCCTGGCCACAGTGGTGTGTGAGGCCACCAGCAGAGTCAGCTCAGCTCCTGCAGCACAGGCAGACAAACAGACAGATGGGTGTCAGTGGTTCCCACTGCCCTCAGCCACCGCAGGCTGCTGTGCCCACCCTCCTCCTCCTCCTGTTCGCCCTCCCAGCAATCCCACAGTGTGGGGTTGGCGGCCGACGGCTCTGATCTCTCATGTGTGAAGGGGACAATTCTCTGCTCCACTTCATCACTCCCACCCAGCGCTGTGCGAGGGGATGGCGGAGGGCAGCCCTGGGCAGTGCACAGTGCTGGGAGGGTGGGGAGACACATTTCTGCTGGGACACCCCAACCTCCTGGGGGGTTTTCAATTCTTTCCCAATGGTGGAGAAGCAAAACAGCTCCCTCAGACATGCCACAGGGTGTTTCCAGCCCCACTGCTTCACATCAGATGGCTGCAGGGACACAGGGACCTTGTCACCGGGGCTATGAGTCGCCCTCTCCACCCCCAAGAGCACCGATGTGCCATGGCATAAAGCGCACACAACGCCCTGGTGCACTTCATGCTGCTCCAGCGCCAACCCGAGGAGCCTCGTGCAGCGATGCTCCAGGCTCCCTCCATGCCCAGTGGGCTGCACGGGGCACACAGCACAGCACAGAGCCACAGGGGCTGCAGCACATGTCCAGCACCTCCAGCTGGGCACTGTGCCGAGGACACGCCACGCCGCGGGTTTGTTTTGACATCCTTCCTTCCCCCTTTGGCCCCCCCGCCAATAAGTTTGGTGGCTATTTTTAGTGTGTTTGATAACGAGCAGTGGCTGATTGACAGCTCTTTACGACTTGAATGGTTTGTAATTTGTACTTGCCTAATATTCGCCGGCAATAATTGCACAGCGGGAGGGAAGGTGGGGGAAGCTGCAGCCCCAACCCTGGGCTGCAGCACACACAAATATAGCTGCAACGCGGCTGCACGTGCTCCCCACGTCCCTGGCACTCTCACAGTGGCCCCACGGGAGCATCCCTGGAGTGTCAAAGCACTCCGTCCCGAGAGGACACTCAGTACTGAGCTTTGCACACGGGCTCAGCCTGGTCCCCTATTCCCCCCCTGCAAACACTGAGCTGCACATCCCTGCCCAGGGCACAGCAGGCAGAAGAACCCCAGCCGGAGGGCACCCGGCCCTCCCTGCTCCCAAAGCAATTAAAACCGAGGCACACTCAGCTGCACAGCTCAGCTCCCATCACATCACTGCTGCACATCAGGGTGGGAGCGCCGCCCATCAGCACCAATGGCCCCGGGGATTCTGCCCACCCCCCAGAATTACAGCCAGCAAGGCGGGAGGTGGGAAGAGATGGCACCTGTGCCCTACCTTGCAGGGATGCTGTGGGAAAGCAGCACCGGGGGAAGCGGCTGCTCAGGGTCATCCGTCTCCTGCAGACAGGCTGTGCGCTGCACCGGGCGGCTCAAGGATACAATGGGAGTTGTGAGAGCCACGCCGACAGCAGGGCTGGCAGTAAGGGGAGGGGGGGGGGGGAGGCATGAGCTTATCTTATTTCTTTTGTTTTTTCCCCCCTCTCAAAGACACCAACAAAAGACGCTGATTGGGAGCAGACGAAACACAGAAATTCCATATTTGCTGCCTTCTGTGCGGCAGAAGCAGAGACCTTGAGAGAATCTGCGACACGCTGGGGCCCAGCCAGACAGTGAGCCTTGGGGGGGATATATCTGCCGACATGCCACGTCCTTGGGCTGCCGGGGGTGGGCGCCGAGCAGGCGGGATGGGACAGTGCTCCAGGACACTGCAGTCAGCAGGAAGATTGTTACAGGGACACCACGCAGTGCCTCACCACCAGGTTTAAATTCCCCCTCAACTCTGTGTTTCATCCCTTCCCTGCAGCTGTGCTGCAGGGAGACCTGTGCCAGCCCTGCCTGGAAGAGCCGTGCGTTAACCCCAGCCTGGTTTGCAGCATAGAAAACTGAGAGCATCCTTTTGGATATAAGGAGTGGGGCGAGGGACCGGCACAGCCCGAGGTTTCCCCCATGCTCCATCAGCTCACACAGCACAGCACGATGAATGACTGCACCTGTCTGCTGCCAGACTGACAAATGGAGCGGGCAGCGCGCCGGGCAGACAAAGCCATGGTGCAGCACAGAGCTGAGCCCATGGAACCAGGGACAGCAGAACAGGGTGGGAATGCAGCCCCAAGCCCTTGTGCATAGCAGGCATCCCTGTGGATGGGAGTGGGGATGGGCTGGTGTGAGGCACAGAGCACACGTGAGGGTCATGCAGCAGCATGGGGTGATGGCAGCTGCCAGCCGGGCTTGGCATGGCACAGCCCTGCTCTGAACATCACTGTGTGCCCCTGGACAGGCAGTGCTAGGGATGCTGCTGAGATTTTTGCTCATTTTGGGGCTGCCAGGATGGATCCTGCAACAGGAGCACCTCGCAGGGCACCGCAGCAGCACCAAACCACACTTCACCACCAACTCATAAAGCAGGGGAGCAGCTGCCCTGGGACCCCCACTTCACCCAGGGATGGCATCCCAAAGGCACCTGAGCCAGCACATCCCTGCCCATCCCTCCTTCCCCCCCAGGACAAATCCATGCAGGGCCATGGCGAAGGCATGGTGCAGCTGTGTGCTCTCAGCAGAAGCAATGCGCGGCCGCTCCCATCCCACTCCGTCAACTCCTGTTACATTTAAAGACATCTTAATAAAAGCCTCACAGCCCAACCTGGCAGAGGCTGGTGGGTCACGAAAAGGCAAAGGATAATTAAATGAAGCATCCAAATTCATCCCCCCAAGCACAGGGGAGTCACATTTGGTAGCAATGCAGAACGCCTTCAAAAAGACGTGTTGAAACAGGAGTTGGAAAGAACAAAACAAACCCCGAGCAGCACAGACACGGGTTATGGATGTTCATCTGGTCAACAAATGCAGAACCACTGAACCACTTCCAGGGCTCCTAAACCGGTGCTCCTCCAACTGCACATGGAACAAGCGCACAGGTCCTGCAAACCCATCCTGAGTTTGCTGTCTGCACACACGGAATGCCAGCCCAGTCCCAGTCAGCACTACCCAAACAAGCACAAAGCCCTTGGTGTGCATTAACCCAGAGCGTGCCTCTCCCAGACAGGTGATGAGAGCACAGCTCTCCTCCTGCCCAGCCCAGGAGAGGCAAAGAGGGAATGCTGCCCCGTGCCCTGGTGCTGTGGAGCCGGGAAGCACTGATGTGGAGCAGGGCCAGCACCGGACCTAACCACAGGGCAACGCAGCCTCCTGCTCCCCAAAAGACACCTCAATACCAGCCCAGGACACACTGACCACCTGTGGGATCTCTGCTGATTCTCATGTTCTGAGAGACCTCAGAAGAGGAGCACGAAGCCGTGCATTTCAGTTCTCCATTCCTGCAGCAAACTCTCCCACTTCCAGGGCAGCTGCAGAAAACGGAGCTCGCTTCTGCTTTCTGCACAGAGAGATCTGCCCAGGGCACTGCTGGGGATGGTCACAGTGCCCAGCCCCTCCGGGCTGGCAGCAAAGGGCTGACACGAGCAATGGATGCAACCCAAGTGGTGCCACCCACCCGTGTGCCACTCGCAGCGATTTCACAGCCTGGAGCAAGGATAGCAGCTCCATGGGTAGCGGCAGGAAGGGGTGAGGAACACGTGGCAGACAGAAAAGCTCCAGATATGAGCAAGTCGCAGTCACCCCGGCCATGCTGGCGTCACTGCTGAAACATTTCCCCACTCAGAACCAGCTCAGCCAGTCCGGCTGGGAGCTGCCCGGCTTTCCCAGCTGCAGCCCCGGGGCAGAGACCCCCAAGGGGCCCTGCAGGATCCCTGCTGTTCAGAGCCCTCCAACACACAACCAGAGCTGCAAAAGCTGTGTTCAGAGCGGGGCCAGGAATCGGCTTCCTCCCTGCCCCACTGCTGGATGGGGGCCCGCGGGCACAGCTCTGTTCTCAGCCGGTCACACAGCCTCTTCAGCACGACTTGTCACCAAAACAAAGCTCAGGATACAGCAGAAGCTCAGCTCAGCAAAAGGAGGGGTCTGGAGGGATGAGCTGAGATCACACTGAGCCCCTCTGTGTCCCCATGCCCATACAGAGACGCTGGATCTCCTGGCTGTGCCCTGACAGATGCAGACTGTGCAGGATGCTCAGAGCCAGCCGAGGTGCAGCGCACACTGCTTGCTACAAACAGCCCCAGCAGATGCAAAACAAAGGAAAACGCTGAGCTGGTGGCTTTCAGCCCCGCCGCTCCTGGAGGTGAGAACCAGACTTTGCACACAGCCCAGCCCTGCACTGCTCACTCAGGTGCCCAGAACCCACCTGGGTAATAGGAGTCACTGACACGGGACGAGCTGCAGGTACACGCAGTCCCTCCAGCTCTCAGCGATGGCCCCACAACCGGTCCCAGTGCTCTGAGCCTGTCTACCCTGGGAGCTTCCAATGCAGCTCCCTGCCCTGCCCCATGCGCTGATCACCACCAGCATCAGTGGGATACAGGCCATCCTCATCCAATCCACCCCCCAGCACAGCACAGCACAGCCTGCACTCACCCCATCCCACAGACACCGGCTCAGCATCCCCACCCATGAGGACACAACCTCAGGCCCCATGGGGGGGCGGCAGTGCAGCTCCCCAGGGCTGCAGTGCTCCCTTATCTCTCAGTGGAGCTGCCAAAGGAAGGAAAGGGCTCAGCTGAGCAGGGAGGGACTCCAAAAGCTGCTGCCACCGTTCTTTTTTTCCGTATTGCAGAAGTTCTCCAGCACACGGTTCCGCCCTGGGAACATCCAGACCCATGAGGTGCTGCAGCACCATGGTTCCACTTGGAACGGGGAAACTGCAGCAAGGACCGGGCACAGTGTGGGAGCAGGGATCCGGCGTGCAAGGAGGGCATGTGGCAGTGGGTACAGCCTAGTGCTGTGAGCCTGCTGTGCCCAATGACACTGGGCTTTGGAATGGGGAAAGGCAGAAGGGTGAGACTGTGTTATCTCCGGGTGCTGCAGTTCCCCATTTTCCTTTCCAATCCCTTCACCCACGCAGCCAGACATTGAGACAGGACCCCTCATGTTACACCATGGATATTCCAGCTCCTCCACCACACATCTGCACAGCACAGCCAGCCTGGGGCTGGGGGCAGCCCTCCATAGGGTCTGAAGCAAAGCCACCAACCAGACCCTGCTTTTCCTCCCTGTATCCCCACCATTGCTTTTGTCGCCTCCACATCTCCAGCACTGCTTCGCCACCCGCGTCCCCCAGCACATCCCAAGCATTCTCAGCTCTGAGCCAGGAGGACAGTGAGGAGATCCATAGCCTGGAGGGAAGTCAGAGCAAGACGCAGATTTACAGGTCCTGGCTCCTGGCCCACGTTCAAACCACATGAAATCTGTTTCAAGGCTTTCTTTTCAGCCCGTACATGTGCAGAGGCACGAGCAAAGCAGTGCCACTTCCCTCACACCAAGGTCACAGCACCACAGCAGGGGTGCACTGGGCACAGACCACACCAACCAGATCCTTTTTCTCCTTGCCAAGAGGGCTACAGAGCCGACTATCACACAGCATCACACTCGAGGGAGCTGACCCACACTGCTCACCCCATGGCCCCGCTTCCGAGAGGGCTCTAAGCTGAGAAGCTCTGAGGAAGTGAGGTCAGCTGGGAAATGGTTCCCAGAGATAAAGGGCCAAGTTAGAAACCATGCTGCAGAACGGACGGCACAGGAAGCAGTACTGCTGCAGATAGCCCTTGGTGCTTCCCCTGCCATGCCTGGAGCAGCACAGGGCAGGAGTGATGTGTGGCTGTGCTTCCCCTGAGGCACGTGGGCTGCGTGCTCCAGCCCAAGGCTTACTGCCTTCTCCTTCCAGACGTGGCACGTGCTTGCTGGTCATTAAAACATGTCATTGTGAGCCAAGCCCGGAGCCCAGGTCCCCTCTGTGCCACCAGTTTGTTCCCTGTGCATGCAGCACGCCTTCACACATCACTGTAAATCACAGCCCCTTCCCTTGCTGAGCTGGGACAGATGCACCTGGGTGATTTTCTGTCACTCCAGGACAATGTCATTCAAAAGCAGAGGTATTGTTAGCGCATCTCCACCACACAGGCAACATTGCAAGGCCACTGACAGTCTAAACAGCGAGCATCACACTTCCTTTTGCTGTGCCAGCCCATTAGCAACCCCAGCTCCAAAATCACAGGGCTGAATTTTGGGGAAGCTCCTGAGCACGAGATGCTCAGACAAGATCTAGCCATGGGTCCAAGCTTGGGAATGGGCGCAGCCCACAGTCTGCTAAGCAGAGGTGCAGTGGGAGCACAGGCTGGCTCACAGTGGCACACCGCTCCCCAGGGAGCCTCAGCACAGACACTGAGCAGCAGAGGTTTGTCCATGGGCCAACCATTGAGCCAGCACAAAGCGGCACAAACAAGCAGCAGCAGCAGGGGATCAGCCTGCAGAAGGGTGCAGGGGAACAACAGCATCGCACTGCTCCCAAGCATGAGGTCACCGGCATCCCTATCACATCCCCTGGGGACAGGGGTGAGCACCAGCACAGAAAGAGGAAAAATACCAAACTGAGTCTTTTGTTGCCACATTCCCACAGCTCCGTTTGCATCCGATGCTGTTGGATCGGTGCTGTCCCATTCCCAACACCCAGGCACCTTGTGGGCTCTGAACACCACTGAGTGGGGAAACATCACCCACGAGAGCTGCTTCTCATACCCTCAGACCTCCCGGGCAGCAGAGAGAAGGGACAGTCAGGAGGAAACCACAGCTGCCGTGGGGCTGAGCCGGAGACGAAGCACTGCACGGGGTCATGGTCCGGGGGGGAAAGTCCACCCAGGCCCCGGCTTGGCTCACACAAATCCCACGGTGCTTTCCAGCGGCAGGGACACGCACAGCAGCCAGGCTGCTCCGGGGAAGCCTCCCGGCAGCTTACAGCCCTTCGCCGGCAGCGCGGGGCTCTGCAGCCTCCCCAGGCGAGGGCACAGTAAAAGCCCGGCCGAGCGCGGCCACGAGCCCCGAATCGCCGACGAGCGAACGTCGAGAGGGAAACGGAGCAGGAGACATCAAAGCAGGGGGGCGATGAATATTTCATGCCCTGGCCTACATACAGCCCGGCTCTTCCCGCCCCGCGCTCCCGGGGGTCTCCCGCAGCCCCCGATCACAACAAAGGGGAGTGCGGGCAGGCGGGGCCGGACCCCGCAGCTCCCCCCCTCCGTCCCCCCGGCGGACCCGCCGCCATCCCCCGGCAGCCCCGTAGCCGACACCGGGACCCCGCGCACCTTCCGCCGCCCCGCAGAGCCCGGAGCCGGACCACCGGCATCGCCGCCCGGCTACTGCGGGCATCCCCGGAGCCGCCCCGCCGCCACCCGAGCATCCTCCACCGAACGGCGGGAATCTCCCGCCGGTCCCGCAGCCGGACCCCACGGAGACATCCCCGCAGCCGGACCCCGCGCAGTCCCCGCTCACCTCCCGCGTGTGCGCGCCGCGGGGCCGGACCCCGCCGCTCTTCTCCAGGGCTCGGCCGTGGCTTTGTCTCCGCGCCGGGGGCGCGGCCGCCGCCCCCCGCAGCAGCCGCCGCCGCCGCCGCCGCCGCCGCGCTGGGTGCCCGCAGCCGCGGGCCGGGCCGTGCCGGGCGCTCAGGGCTGCGCCGCCGGCAGCATCGCGCAGCACCGCGGATCCGGCGCGCCGCTCCCCCGCCCCCGCTCCCCCTTCTCCGGGGTGTGTGTGTGTGTGTGTGTGTGTAAGGGGGGCACAACCCACAGGGAGAAAAAAAAATAGGAATATGGCAGCAGTAAACCGGAAACGGCTTATAGGAAAAAAAAAAAAAAAAAGAAAAGAGGAGCCCCTCCCCTCTTGGTTTTTTTTTTTTTTTTTTTTTTTTAAGGAAGAAGGCTCCGGGCTGCCCGGCTTCGCGGGGTGCGGAACGCGACCGGAACCGCCTCTGCCCGCGGCTCTGCCGACGCACCCCGTCCCGGAGCCGCCCGGTCGCGGCGGGGCCACGCGTGGGAGCGCGCCGCGGTTCTCCGCTCGGCTTCGAGCTCTCTGGCGCGGGGCTGTGGGTTGAACTGTCTGGCGGGGCTCGTCCAGGGGAGAGCAGTGATTTTCAGTGAGGTTCGAACCGGGCTGCTTTGCGGTTCGTTTTTATTTAGCGACTCGGGCACGCAGCGAATAACTGCTTTGTGATGGATCCTGCGCCATCGTGCGTCTTCGTCCCCAGCAGGGACACCCGGCCGGTCTGGGAGGCTGCAGTCCGCGATCCTCCCGATCTCCGGGAGGAGGCATAACTTCATTGTAGGGAATAAACAAGGAAAGAGGACCGTGCCGCGGGCCTCCCCGTGGACGTCATGCCCTCCGCTCCTGCTGTTCGTTACAGCAACCGGAGCGGGGGCTTCTGGAAACTCCAGCGCTTCAGAATCAGTGTGGGAAGTGAACGAGGTTCAGGGAACTACGCGGCGGAGCTTTCCCTTCTGTTTGCAGTCCACACCCCTCCCCCGGCTCATTTGAGTTATTAAAAAAATATTTCCCGTGACACTGCCGAGGGCCAACAAATCCATGAGTCACCGAGAGTCATGCACACACCGATCTGTCCCCACCGGCCAGCATATCACACGGAGGGGCCTTTCTGCCAGGAGCAGCCTGATACTCCCTGGCTGATTTGGAGGCAGCAGCCCCAGGCTGCAGCCTGGTGCCCATGGAGAGTCTTTTTTGTGCTGTTAGTTCTACAGGGCATAGCAGGGCATGGATGCCGCATCCACACCACTGCCCAGCCCACAGCCCTCCTGCAGGCAGCGCAGCCCCACACACCGGGCTCGGCCCCAGCCCCAAGGAGCTGATGGAGCTGACTCAGCCCCCGCTGCATCCAGACCCAAACTTAAGATGCAATTATGACCCATAAATATTTGAATTTGGTTTCCCTCCTTTGCAGCCAGCTCCTTGGCTGCACGCAGCCCCACAATCCGCTCTTTCCTCTCCAGCAGTGCAGCAGGCAGGCGGGCAGGCAGGCAGGCAGCAGAAGGCAGTGCCGTGTAGCACGCTGGACCCAGCGCACCGTGCAGGCTCCTTCGTGGAAGGAGGAAGACGCCGACGCGCCAATCCAAAATGGCAGGCAGACCCTCTTGACGTGCGGCTTCTGCTCTCCTCCCCTCCCCTCTCTCGGGCTCCGGCTCAGCAAGGTGCCCTCGCAGCACCCAGACGCTCCACACGCGCCGCTGCCCATGACGCGCTCGAAGCCATTGCAGCTGAAGCAGCTGAAGCAGCACGGCTCGCTGCCCTCCCGGCTCACGCCTGAGCTCTGGGCCCCAGGCGCGCTCACCTGCAGCCCTCCCGCTGCCCTCTCCTCCTGCCCCACTCCCAGCGCTGCTCTTCACACCAGCCCACCCAACTCTTTGTTTTTCCCCCAGTGAAGGATTCCAGTCTCTTCCCTGAAACCTCTCTTCTTTCTCTTCACCTTTCAGTAACACCAAAAATGCACACTGGGGAGGCAGGGCAGGGAGGGGTGCAGAGGCTGAAACTGGAAGTGAAAGGCAGGTGCTTTCCAGTTCCGAGTCACTCTCACTGAGTACTTCTCCTGGGTCACTCATGTTGGCACAGCTTGATTTCTTGTTACAAACACATAGGTATTTTTGTGCTTTTTTTTGGTTGAACTTTAGGCAAGTTTCACGAGGAAAAATCAGAATAACTGCCCGTGGCTTTCACCCTTCAGGCATGCTGCACACAGACAGCGTGTTGCAATGCCTGGTGACACTGGTGCTGCTACATTTCTCCCCGTGGAGCCCTGAGGCTCAGTCCCACGGCTGTGTAGTGCTGGGGAGCCCCAGGCCCTGCAGTTGCAGTGCTCCATAAAACTCAAGAGAAAAATGATTGAGCTTCTCACCCCTGCCCTGGACGCGCTGCCCCCCGCTGGATCAGGCTGCCCAGGGCCCACCCAGCCCAGCCTTGGCCACATCCCTGGAACGGACATCCACGACTTCTCTGGACAAACCGTTCAGACCTGCTCATGAGCCCCATCCAACTGCTCCATGGGGCCCCTAAAATCTTTCTGCAAAGTGAGAGGGGCCTTTTGAGGTCCGATGCTCAGTCAATCCTGACCTCTTCAGTCCAGCTGTGGATTTATAACAAAACAGCCATTCATCTCTGGCCAGCTTTATTTTTAAGCATCCCTTTGGCGAGCGTGCATAAGTCTTGTTTCACAGATTCCATTCCTGAGGCAAGCTGTGCTTTGCTCACTGCAAATTCCAAATATATTTGTAGGAATTATTACTATGAATAGCACAATGGTTGTGTTTGAGTTGCAGACAGACGCAGCAGAGCCCTTTGCTCTGATCTTTTCAGGAACTCAAGCAGCTTTTCAGCAGCCCCACCTGGAGCCAGTGAAGCACGCAGCCAGGAGCTGGATGGACCCAGTGATGCTCGCAGGGACTCTCCAGCTCAGGAATTCCATGTTTCAATCATTTTACAATCACTAAACTTTGCAGACTTGCAAAGACTGTGGGTGTGACAGCAAGTGATCAGCATGGCCAGCGTCAGGAACTGTTACGAGCTTAGGGCTGGTTTAGGTTTGTGAAGGAGGAACTAAAGCTGGGATCCTTCAATCCAGGCTGGAGGCACACAGAATCACAGAATCACACAGAATCACAGAATCACCTGGGTTGGAAGGGACCTCAAGGATCATGTAGTTCCAACCCCCCTGCCTAGCAGGGCCACCAAACATCCACATTCAGATCAGGTTGCCCAGGACCCCGTCCAACCTGGCCTTGAACACGTCCAAGGACGTGGCATCCACAACCTCCCTGGGCAGCCCGTTCCAGGCCCTAACTACTCTCCTTGTGAAGAACTTCCCCCTAACATCCAACCTAAATCTTTCCTCCTTCAACTTGGATCCATTTCCCCTAGTCTTGCTGTTGTCAGCCCTTCTGAAGAGTTTACTCCCCTCCTGGGTGTAGGTTCCCTTCAGGTATTGATAGGCTGCAATGAGGTCGCCCCGCAGCCTTCTCTTCTCCAGGCTGAACAAGCCCAACTCCCTCAGCCTGTCCTCATAGGGGAGGTGCTCCAGCCCCCTGATCATCTTAGTCGCCCTCCTCTGGACCCTTTCCAAGATCTCTATGTCTTTCTTGTACTGAGGGCTCCACACCTGGACACAGTACTCCAGGTGGGGCCTCACAAGAGCCGAGTAGAGAGGGACAATCACCTCCCTGTCCCTGCTGGCCACCCCTCTCCTGATGGAGCCCAGGATCCCATTTGCCTTTCGAGCTGCCAGAGCGCACTGCTGGCTCATGTTAAGTCTCTCGTCCATCAGGACCCCGAGGTCCTTCTCTGCCGAGCTGCTCTCAAGGACCACTCCTCCCAGCCTGTACGGGTGCCTGGGACCTCGCACAGCAGCGTGGTTCTGCGGGTGGCAGGTGGGCTGGACCCAGGCCGTGCAGGAATCATCTGGGCTCTGCTCCAGCTGCCTGCTGAGCACCTTTGGCTGCAGCCAGCTGCTGCTCACACGGGGTGCAGAGAGCTCCAGAGCCACTCAGGGGCCTTCAGGCTCTGAGAGAAACCAGGCAAACTGAGGGGAAGGAAGCAAACATCACCAGAGATGGGACTGCACAGCACTGATGTGTGGTGATCAATCGGGATGGGTGGCGAAGTTGGGAAGATCAACAGTGAAAGATGGGAAAAGCAGCTGAATGTAAGGGAAGAGATGTGAAGCCAACAAGATCATTACCCTGCAACTGCCAAGCAAGGGATGTTTTGACCAGCGACTGCTCTGATCCACTTAACAAAAGCCACAAAACACTCCATAAACTTAGAAAAACTGCTCAAAGCCACAAGCTACCAGATACCAGAGAAGAGCAGGACCTTTGCCCTGCAGTCACTGGCATTTTCAGAAACACCAAAGCCAACACCGGTTTGTGTCCATATCTCCTGTGGGACAGCCCCAGCCAAATCACCTCTTCTGGTTTGAGGAGGATGAGGAGGGTAAGATTCTTTCAAGTGCCAAACCTGGCAGCCAACTTCATCACCAAACAAGTGGCCAGGATCCAAACGCCAGCACTCTCCATTCATCATCCCACTTCCTTGCTGCAGTCAGTCTGATGCCTTGTGAGATTCGGAAGCAAACAACAAAGTCAGTACAGTCATCTTGATCCCTGCAGGTAATGTGATGTGAGCAGCACAGTGTCTTCCTGGAAGAACTACCTCCATGAACTGAGGCAGCCACCAGCTCCTCCCCTCCTACTTGCTTTCTCAAGTATCACCACAGGACCCTTGACCCTCCCTGGCATCCAGGCACAAAAGGGCTCTTTTCACATTCTTTACAACAGGCTGGGAAATAATCTTGGCTTCAAGACTCTTTCAGGGGAGTGAGAGGCAAGCACAGTTCTCTTCACAGCTGGCCTTGGCTCTTCTGCTGCTGCCAGTGGGGAACAGCACCAGAGCATCTCTGATGTAGAGAAGCACATGTATGAGAATGAAAGCAAATTAGGTCTGAGCAGGATTAATAGGGATTTAATTGAACACTATGAACTAGTGAACTGGAACTCAGGTCACGAGCTGCTTATTAGCCTGCCTCAATGGATCGTGCTGCTTGCACTGGAGGAGCAGAAGGATGCACTGTGAGTGGGACGGCTCGCAGGGCAGTGATGGCCATGGCACTTGAGATGAGTGTGGCCAGAAAGGGAGATCTGCTTGGACGCTGTCAAAAATGGAGCAACAAAATTGCTTGAGATACTTGGGAATTTGAGGACTTAGTGCATAGCCTTTCTTTCCTTTCCTCTTCTGGGGAGGGAACCTGGTGATACCAGCCAGAGCTCGCCCAGCACACCGCTCTTTCTGCAGCCCAAGTGGCCACCAGGCAGCTCACAGCTACAGCTATGCTCACCAAGGAGCCTGCAGAAATCCCATCATCAATCGACTGAATCCCCATCTAATCCCCTGCTCCTACCAACAAACACTGCCTTTATGTTGCTACTTTCACGGGGGGCTTTTGGAGCCAATATCTCTCATGAGAGGCAAATTAATGAAGACATTGCGCTGTTTCCTCTTTCCAGGAAGGTGTTCTGGCAGACAGTTTGTTGCAGTTTGTTGCTTCCAAGTCAAACACAGGTACATGCATGCCTGAAAGTATGAACTAACCAACTTCACACAGATCAAAGGAGCTGAAAGGCTTCCCCTCAATGGGTCACTTTCATGAACTGATGCCCCTGTTTCTACAGAGAGCTATGGCAGCTTTCATAGTAAATACACACACAGAAAGAGACAGCCTGATTTTTAAAAAGTTACTTTTGTTTTTATTTGAAACAGTGATTATATATACATATATTTCAACAGAAAATAGAATAAAATATGTAAGATATTGGCAATTACTAAAGACATGCTATTAGTTCAGCTAATAACATTTTGAAACGAGTATCAAGCTGTTAGGAACCAACTGCAAAGACAGCATAATCCCACCTCCCCTCCCCTCAAAACAAAACCCCCATATCCAGGAATTCCACTTAGAAATGAGTCATTCAGCCTCAACTCAGACAGAAGGAGAAACCACACAGGGCTCATTGCTGACCATTGCTTGCTTGTGGAAGCACTCCTGTGTTTTGGGTAACGTGTGCATTACTCTTTCAGTATTTGTACTTCTGTTAGAAGAAAGCAACAGAACCCATCTTCAGGGAACCCGCAGAAGGACAAGATTAAAAAAAACAACTACCATCCTCATTCATGGAAACTCACAGATCAATATTAGTCTTTATTGTTGGTGTGAGAAAATTTCATCATGTTTCTTTGTCCTGAGATCTCCAAGCAACTTTGGAGTGCTTTTGTCTCACATGCTTTGTTCTGTTCTCCTCATGCTGCCCACCAACTCATCCACCAACAGCAAGGGAGGGCAGCAACATGGTCCTTCTCAAACCGATGGTTCCAGCAAATGTGCCACTAGGCTTCTGGTAGAGAAGAGACCCAGCACAGCACTGCTACTGTGCCTGGGCTCACAGTGCGTTGCTCAATTGAGGACGGCAGTCTGTGAATGTAAAAGGATGGCAGACTTGCAGCCCCGCCACAGAACCCTTTCTTTCAAAGCCACTCTGAGCCCTGGGGCACCTAACACAGCAGGTTCTCCTCCCATTGACTCATTCGTGATCAAACAAACCAAGATGTGAGCTGGCATCAGGAAGCTCCAGATGCCTTACAGAGACTCTGTGGCTATGTCACCACCTCTCTCTCCAGTCCTGTCTAGCCATATTTCAAGCTAACACAAGATTGTCCCTGGTCCTGAAGAGACAGACCCTGAAGGAATGCAGCGTCCCCAGCTCTTGCCAGACATGAAATCCCGCACAGGCAAAGTCCCATTTGTTGGTCACGCATCAGAAGCCCTTCCAGCTTCCTCAGTTCCTCTCCAATGTCCATGCAAGGGAAAGCACGGCCACGCCACAAAACAGGCGTACAGTGCGCTGCCTTTGGAGCACCTCTCACGAAGCATTCCCGCTGCTCCCTGTGGCCTTTGAGGCTTAGCGCTCAAGCCCTCACCGTTTCTTTTTGCTTTCCTTCTTGGCTTTCTTGCTCAGCTGTGCAGCACTTGCCTTTGGTTTCTTCACGGTCTCCCAAGTCTTAGACTCCAAGCCGTCCGAGTCCTACAGGAATCAATTCACAAACAGTCAGGGAACTTTCTGACAATTGCCTGACAGCTCGCTTTGGGCATTTATGTGAAAGCAGAACTACGTAAGTACTGGGTATCTCTGCTGGAATGCACTTCTAGCAGACTGAGTCCACATTTAATGAGACATGAGCAGCACCATCCCTGCTTCTTCTGCGTGTGTTTCTGGATGAGTGTGAGTTCACGCACAGCTTGTTACCACAGAGGCTGTTATAAGCTTAAATGCCTAAATCAGGCTTTGGAGAAGAAAATACCCCAATTTTAACAGCAGGATGAAAACCAACACTTAACAACAATTATTCAAACAAGAAAAAGTAAAAGATATCACAGAAACACCAGTATATGCAGTAACATTCAAAAGGTATTCAGGTATATGTATTTAGGTATATGCAAAATGTACATCCTTATCATGTGCAAGACAAAAGGTAATCCTTAAAACAGCAGTCAGAATGCCACGCTCAGAGCTTTTACATCAAGACCAAAATCCACGGAGGGCATCAAAGGCAAAGCTCTCTTCACCCGGACTAACAAGGAATCCTAAGGTATAGAGCTTGTTTCCTTCAGGGGAGATGACAGATAATATTTCAGGCATGGGAAATAGAGTCTAGTTATCTGGTAAAGACATGAGGGAACAGCGCCAGTCTCATTTGAGAAAGCACACACACACAGATTGCCTCCTTTCATTAAATGCATTTGAGTATAAATATTGTTTTAGCATCTTGGGTTCTAGCAGCCAGAGCTTGCCAACTGGAAAAGGACACAGAAAATGGCAGAGCAAGATGTGCTAGCATCAAGCTTCCAACACAGAGCACCAGATAATGGAGGGGGAGGCACGCATCTGACAGATCCTTTTAATCAGAGCCCTGTTCAATCATCTCTAAAGTCACTGGGCTATTACGGTTCACATCTGTGTGGCTTTCCAAGGAAAAAGAGTTGGCTGGCTTTCCAAAGGCTGAAATCAGTGCATGGGGAGCTGGGGAGGCTCTGGAGAAACAGAGCAACAAGCAGCTATTACTCAGGTTTGCAGAGTGGTGCTGCTGAAAAATGAACACTGATGCCTTCTACTGTTCAAACCAAGGTAGTCTCCAAAGCCTGAAGCCTCCAGAACAAAGAAGCTACTCTGCATTCTACCTGAACCGAAGCATCATTCCTAAGACATGGAGTGAGAGCATCTCTTGTTTATTATCATGTGCATTAATCACACAGACAGCAAATCGAGGGGACAGTGAATATATGGAGAAAATAAAAAACAGAGCACACAAACAATGTAAACAGTAAAAAGCATCACAGTTCTAACAGTTTAACAAAGCTATCATAATTCTAAATAACAACAACAAGATATTCAGTACTTCTCATAAATTTACTAAGGGAAATAAAGAGCATTCACAACAGAGCAATGCCAGAGAATCAGTACTGGCAATTGATGGCTCTGTCTGACTGCAGGTCAGATTACTGAGGTCCATCTTAAGTAAGGGGAAGATGGCATCATAGCCCCCATTTAACATCAACATTTCATTTAAAAATTCAGCAGTACAACCCAAATGTACAGGTTTGGATGGAAGTGCTGCACATTGCCTTCCTGGCATCAGGGCACAACAGAAACTCCACCTCTCTCTTGTTCCCAAAAATCCCACGGAAGCTACAGTCTACGGGCCTTGCCTGCAAGGCAGTCCCTGCACAGGGGGACGCCCTGCCTGCCACTCACAGGCCACAGAAGCAGCAGCAGCACGACGATAAGATGAGCTTGCACCTCCGGGCTCCTTGCGTGCCACCAGGAACAGCACGCACGCCCAAGGAAGGGCACAACAAACTGCCGCACTCTCAGCAATGCCGCGGCGCGCTACCGTAGGCAACGGCTCCAGCTGCTTCCCTCCCAGCCCATTTCCTCAGCATTTCTATCAACCTCTACCAAACAGAGCGCTACTTACTGTCTCTGGGCACTTGGGAACTGGCAGCATTATGGCCAACACGCACACAAGCTGGAAAAGGGCTCCAAAGAAGAGGCCGTAGCGCAGCACGGTCTCCATCAGCGTGGGCTCAGGGATCTCAGGGGCCGAGAAATGCACTTCAGCGGCCATAGCGCAGACAGCCTGCTGCTCTGCTGCTCTCCAGGAGGCTGCTTTCTGCAAGGGGGAAACGAGAGCCATCATTCCATTCGTGCGCTCCGACGCTGTGACTTCCTGCTAGCAAAAACTCCCAGCCTGACTCAGAGACGCGCTCTGAAGATAGCCTTGGTCTTCCGACCCAACCACAAGGAGGGACGCCAAACTTGCATGTCAGCAAGAGCTGAACAGGCAAGAATCAACTTCTCCCTGAGCTTGATCACACACGCACGACCACTGTCTCAGTAACACTAACAACAATGGGATTAATCCCATCACTTGCACATTTGCATCTACCTGGGCACGTACGTGTTCGCGGCCTTGCTGCTGCTGTGCCGTACGGCACCAAGCACAGCAACAAAGCACGCAGAAAGCCCATCTGCTGAGCACAGGGGGAGGAGCTGGGCTCACGCCTAAGCACTGCTTACTGCAAAGGAAGGCACACCTACCTGGCAACGGCCACGCAGGATGCTCGACACACAGTCACACACTGTTCTCCTGAGGCCCAACGCAATGGCGCAGCCACTCACACTCTGCTCCTCGACGGTCTGCAACACAAAAGTCACAAGCTGGAAATTCAATTCATCCAAGATGCCATCGGGCCTCCGTGCTCACGGCACTCGCACTCATGTCTTCGCAGGATCAATCAGGCGTGTGCTTACCAAGTGAGCGCTGCTCACTGCCACTTGACACCAGCAATCTACCCCTAACTGTCAAGTATGAACAGGAACCTATGCCTAACACTAAAAGACTACAAGTAACCTATGCCTAACTCTAACTCAAGAACAGGAACCTATGCCTAACACTAAAATGCTAAAAGTAACCTAAGCCTAACTCTAACATACGAACAATAACCTAACACTAACACTAAAATCAACAACAACACCTAAACTATAACTCCCGCAGCATTTAAATGGGAAGAGGAGAACTTGGCTCCCCAGGAGGCTCGGAGGAGGAGCTGATGGAAACTCATGCCACCCAGCTAATGCTGGGGGCGGGGGCCGCGCAGCGGGTAGGGAGCCGAGCGCCTGGACCAGCGGCGGTGGAGCTGGGACATCGCCAATGCGGGGCCTGGCACGGTGGTGTGGTGCCAGGCCAGCTGTGCCGCAGGCGGATCCACCTCCATGGGCTCATCTGCAGGTGGATCCACCTCCATGGGCTCATCTGCAGGTGGATCCACCTCCATGGGCTCCACGGAGGTGGTCACCGCGCTGGCCCAGGCGCGATGGAAACGCACTCTCTGCCCCCTCCTCCGCTTGATCTTAAAGGCGGCCCCCCTCCTCCTCTTCGCCTCTGGGAAGCCAAGCTCCCTCTTCCCATTTAAAATAGGGCAAGCATCGCCCCTCGCTCTCTTCGCTCCAGCCATGGCTGTCGGAGCTCTCAGAGCGAGTGCGTTGGCCGGGGCAGCGGTGACCAAGGTGACGGCTGTGATGCGGCGAAGGTTCTAAAATGGCAGCCGCACTGCTGGCAATGGCGTTCCACATAGCATGAGGAGGGGGCCGGAGGACAGGGCACCGGACGGCAGCTAGAAGGCACTCCCTGTGCCCAGCGGGCAGCCCTTCTCTGCGGCAAGCAAGGGGCCACAGAGGAGCCGGCCACGAGAAAAGGGCCCTCGGCCTCCTTCATCCTCTCCCTGCTTCCACACGGCAATCTGTTGCGGCTGGCACACGCAGCACACAGCGCCATGTTCAGGGGCCTCCCGAGCCCAGCGCCAATAGCAGCAGGCTCCAAAGCACACCTGACTACGCCTGCCTCCTGGCACACACGAGCTCCGCTTTCCACCTTAGCATCCAGCGCCTCTTCTTGCGCCTCACGGCTCGGGATTCAACCATTCCCTACAATCAATACCGCCAGCTGCATTTTCACTACCATCACTCTGACTCCATTCCACAGCCGCGCACAATGCTGGCACACACACACGGGGCCACCCTGGCTCACCGATGCTTCGCGGGGACCCACACAACAGCATGAGCAAAGCAGGCAGAAACGGGCCGTGCTCCTGACTGATGGCACTCTGAAAATCTCCCTCTCCCTCCCCCCCACTCTACTAAGGCAGCAGTTCTCCCAAGCAACAAACACAATCACGCACAACTGCAGCCCTGGCTCGTCCCGACAAGGGACGTCCCGACGAAGCACATCTTCACAAACCTTCTGCCAGCTCCGCACCCTCCGGCCAACACAGCGCCCGGGCGCCTTGCTCCACTGCCCGCCCGGGCTTTGCTGGCGACAACTCGGCCCTACGGGGCCTCCTCCTTCACGCACCCCAAACACCAACACAGCTCCGCACTCGCACGGCCTTCCCTGAGAGGAAGCCGCCCCCCGACCCCGCAGCACTCGCCGGCGCCGCACGCATCGCCTCTGCGTGCCGGCAGCACCGCCAGCTCCTCCCCCGAGCGCCCCTCCATGCCCCCGCACCGAGGCCCGACCCCGCTCCCAGCACACAGCCCGCTCCTCCCGGCCCCGCTCACCGGCCCGGCGCCGCCATGCCGCGCTGCCCCGGAAGTGCTCTCCGCCGCCAGGAACCACTTCCTGCCCCGGCCCTACCAACCGCCTGCGGCGTCGCGTTGCTGAGGGCGGCCTGGGGGCGGCCCGGGGCCTGGAGGAGGGGGACGGGGCAGCTGGGGGGGTCCGCTGCCGGATTCCCCTCGGGTGGCGCCGGCGGCATGCAGCTTGTCTTCTTCTCCTTTTCTGCCTTTCCCCTTTTCCCCCTTTTTGCTTTCCTTTGCCTTGCTTTTCTTTTCCTTGCTTCTCTTTTCCTTTCCTTTTCTCTTTCTCTCTTCCCCTTCACATTTCCCTTTCTCTTTCCTTTCATTTCTTACTTTCTTCCCCTCCCCTCCCCTCCCGTCCCCTCACCTCCCCTCCCCTCCCCTCGCTTTCTGTCCACACTCAGTCTGCACATCTCCAATGGACATGCCTGGAGAAGATCACCTACGCAGGCAATAAATGGCTTGTGCTGTGCTTCACTGCTTTGTGCTCTTGAAAGACTCTGATTTGTTTTGCCCTTTCCTAAGCCCCAAGTATCAGGAGGGCCCGGCTGGCTTTGCTGCGGAGCCTTATCACCCCACAGGCTGAAGACTTGGGGGAAAAGCTCAGCAGCTCCGTAGCTGCCAAGGGAAGACTTCATGCCCTGGCCTTCATACAGCCCGGCTCTCCCCGCTCTGCTCTGCGCTCCTGCCATCCTCTGCAGCCCCTGTGCTGCGACAAACGCGAGCGCGGCTCGGGCCCAACGCCCTCCCTGCTGCACGCCCTCTCACGGCCTCATGTGCTGCACCCACACCACTGCCCCAGCCCCGCAGCCCTCCTGCCCGCAGCGCAGCCCCACGCACCGGGCTCGGCCCCAGCCCCGAGGAGCTGATGGAGCTGACTCAGCCCCCGCTGCATCCACACCCAAACCTAACACGCACTAACCGCTAACTAACTTTCCTATTTAGGAAATACTCCGTTTCCCTCCTTTGCAGCCAGCTCCTTGGCTGCACGCAGCCCCACAATCCGCTCTTTCCTCTCCAGCAGTGCAGCAGGCAGGCAGGCAGGCAGGCAGGCAGCAGAAGGCAGTGCCGTGTAGCACGCTGGACCCAGCGCACCGTGCAGGCTCCTTCGTGGAAGGAGGAAGACGCCGACGCGCCAATCCAAAATGGCAGGCAGACCCTCTTGACGTGCAGCCTCTGCTCTCCTCTCCTCCCCTCTCTCGGGCTCCGGCTCAGCAAGGTGCCCTCGCAGCACCCAGACGCTCCACACGCGCCGCTGCCCATGACGCGCTCGAAGCCATTGCAGCTGAAGCAGCTGAAGCAGCACGGCTCGCTGCCCTCCCGGCTCACGCCTGAGCTCTGGGCCCCAGGCGCGCTCACCTGCAGCCCTCCCGCTGCCCTCTCCTCCTGCCCCACTCCCAGCGCTGCTCTTCACACCAGCCCACCCGCACTTGAACTCCTCGCGGCTCAACGGGAGGCTGACGTGCAGGCCATGGCTGCCCGCAGGTGCAGCTGGCCTTCCCAGGGCAAGCAGGAACAGTCCGTGCTACAGAAGGCTGGAAAAGCCACCAGGCAAGATGGAGAGACAAGCTCAAGGCGCTGAGTGCAGGGACACCTTTCTTCCTCGCGCGCCGCTTCCTCTCCTTTTCTTTCTCTCACTCCTCACAGAGCAAGCTGATGCTCACACTCTTCGCCAGCACTTACGCTTTGGCTGAAAGGCCACCGCTTGGGAAGACCAACATGGAAACGCGGGAAAAGCAGCTCCATCTCCGGGGAGGGACGTGAAGCCGGCCGGTTCATCGCCCTGCCACTGCCAGCCCAAGCCAGGCATGTTTGGACCAGCTACTGAAAGAGGCAGCACCAGGTTGAAAAGGTTTCTTTCCCTTTTATTTTAAACTAAGGGATTTGGGTTGCGTGTTGTAGATACGTCAACAGACAATAAAATAGCCTGGATACCGCTCATGACCAGCGACATGCGCTAAGTTCACCTCATCATCAACATTCTGCAACAGCTATCGAGCTGAAGGACCCTCAAGGAATGCAGCGTCCCCAGCTCTTGCCAGACATGAAATCCCGCACAGGCAAAGTCCCATTTGTTGGTCACGCATCAGAAGCCCTTCCAGCTTCCTCAGTTCCTCTCCAATGTCCATGCAAGGGAAAGCACGGCCACGCCACAAAACCAGGCGTACAGTGCGCTGCCTTTGGAGCACCTCTCACGAAGCATTCCCGCTGCTCCCTGTGGCCTTTGAGGCTTAGCGCTCAAGCCCTCACCGTTTCTTTTTGCTTTCCTTCTTGGCTTTCTTGCTCAGCTGTGCAGCACTTGCCTTGGGTTTCTTCACCGTCTCCCAAGTCTTAGACTCCAAGCCGTCCGAGTCCTACAGGAATCAATTCACAAACAGTCAGGGAACTTTCTGACAATTGCCTGACAGCTCGCTTTGGGAGCTCAAGTCACCTGACTGGGCAGCTTTGGCTGCCAGCGCTGCAAATTGCCTTTCTGGCATCAGGGCACAACAGAAACTCCACCTCTCTCTTGTTCCCAAAAATCCCACGGAAGCTACAGTCTACAGGCCTTGCCTGCAAGGCAGTCCCTGCACAGGGGGACGCCCTGCCTGCCACTCACAGGCCACAGAAGCAGCAGCAGCAGCAGCAGCAGCACGACCATAAGATGAGCTTGCACCTCCGGGCTCCTTGCGTGCCACCAGGAACAGCACGCACGCCCAAGGAAGGGCACAACAAACTGCCGCACTCTCAGCAATGCCGCGGCGCGCTACCGTAGGCAACGGCTCCAGCTGCTTCCCTCCCAGCCCATTTCCTCAGCATTTCTATCAACCTCTACCAAACAGAGCGCTACTTACTGTCTCTGGGCACTTGGGAACTGGCAGCATTATGGCCAACACGCACACAAGCTGGAAAAGGGCTCCAAAGAAGAGGCCGTAGCGCAGCACGGTCTCCATCAGCGTGGGCTCAGGGATCTCAGGGGCCGAGAAATGCACTTCAGCGGCCATAGCGCAGACAGCCTGCTGCTCTGCTGCTCTCCAGGAGGCTGCTTTCTGCAAGGGGGAAACGAGAGCCATCATTCCATTCGTGCGCTCCGACGCTGTGACTTCCTGCTAGCAAAAACTCCCAGCCTGACTCAGAGACGTGCTCTGAAGATAGCCTTGGTCTTCCGACCCAAGCACAAGGAGGGACGCCAAACTTGCATGTCAGCAAGAGCTGAACAGGCAAGAATCAACTTCTCCCTGAGCTTGATCACACACGCACGACCACTGTCTCAGTAACACTAACAACAATGGGATTAATCCCATCACTTGCACATTTGCATCTACCTGGGCACGTACGTGTTCGCGGCCTTGCTGCTGCTGTGCCGTACGGCACCAAGCACAGCAACAAAGCACGCAGAAAGCCCATCTGCTGAGCACAGGGGAAGGAGCTGGGCTCACGCCTAAGCACTGCTTACTGCAAAGGAAGGCACACCTACCTGGCAACGGCCACGCAGGATGCTCGACACACAGTCACACACTGTTCTCCTGAGGCCCAACGCAATGGCGCAGCCACTCACACTCTGCTCCTCGACGGTCTGCAACACAAAAGTCACAAGCTGGAAATTCAACCCATCCAAGATGCCATCGGGCCTCCGTGCTCACGGCACTCGCACTCATGTCTTCGCAGGATCAATCAGGCGTGTGCTTACCGAGTGAGCGCTGCTCACTGCCACTTGACACCAGCAATCTACCCCTAACTGTCAAGTATGAACAGGAACCTATGCCTAACACTAAAAGACTACAAGTAACCTATGCCTAACTCTAACTCAAGAACAGGAACCTATGCCTAACACTAAAATGCTAAAAGTAACCTATGCCTAACTCAAGAACAGGAACCTATGCCTAACACTAAAATGCTAAAAGTAACCTAAGCCTAACTCTAACATACGAACAATAACCTAACACTAACACTAAAATCAACAACAACACCTAAACTATAACTCCCGCAGCTTTTAAATGGGAAGAGGAGAACTTGGCTCCCCAGGAGGCTCGGAGGAGGAGCTGATGGAAACTCATGCCACCCAGCTAATGCTGGGGGCGGGGGCCGCGCAGCGGGTAGGGAGCCGAGCGCCTGGACCAGCGACGGTGGAGCTGGGACATCGCCAATGCGGGGCCTGGCACGGTGGTGTGGTGCCAGGCCAGCTGTGCCGCAGGCGGATCCACCTCCATGGGCTCATCTGCAGGTGGATCCACCTCCATGGGCTCATCCGGAGGTGGATCCACCTCCATGGGCTCCACGGAGGTGGTCACCGCGCTGGCCCAGGCGCGATGGAAACGCACTCTCTGCCCCCTCCTCCGCTTGATCTTAAAGGCGGCCCCCCTCCTCCTCTTCGCCTCTGGGAAGCCAAGCTCCCTCTTCCCATTTAAAACAGGGCAAGCATCGCCCCTCGCTCTCTTCGCTCCAGCCATGGCTGTCGGAGCTCTCAGAGCGAGTGCGTTGGCCGGGGCAGCGGTGACCAAGGTGACGGCTGTGATGCGGCGAAGGTTCTAAAATGGCAGCCGCACTGCTGGCAATGGCGTTCCACATAGCATGAGGAGGGGGCCGGAGGACAGGGCACCGGACGGCAGCTAGAAGGCACTCCCTGTGCCCAGCGGGCAGCCCTTCTCTGCGGCAAGCAAGAGGCCACAGAGGAGCCGGCCCCGAGAAAAGGGCCCTCGGCCTCCTTCATCCTCTCCCTCCTGCCATGTAGGAATCCCCTTCTGGGGCTGGGCCACGCAGCACACAACACTCATGGCACGCTCAGGGATCTCCTGAGGTCAGCGCAAACAACAGCGTGCTCCAGACTGGACCTGACGGCGCCCGCCTGCAGGGAGACAGAAGCCCCTGCTTCCATTTCTTCTTAGTCTGGGGTTTTTCCCCTTAAATATGGATTTTTCTGCTAGTATTTCCTCTTTTTCCCCTTAACTCTCGGGTTTTTACCATTAAATACAGCTTTTTCTTCTAGAAATCCCTGTTTATCCCGTTAAATCTCCGGTTTTTCCCCTTAAATATGGCTTTTTCTGCTAGAAATCCTTATTTTCTTCCTTAAATCTGGGTTTTTCTCCCAGACATCACTGTTTTTCCCCTTAAATCTGGGGTTTTCTCCTTAAATACGGCTTTTTCTCTTAGAAATCCCTGTTTTTTCCCTTAAATATGGCTTTTTCTGCCAGAAATCCTTGTGTCCCCATTAAATCTGGGGTTTTCTCCCACAAATCCCTGTTTTGCCCCTTATATATGGGGTTTTCCCCTTGAGATATGGCTTTATCTGCCAGTTTTTCCCCTTAAATCTGGGGTTTGCTTCCAGAAATCCCTGTTTTTCTATTAAATCTGGCTTTTTTTCCCATAAATATGGCTTTTTCTGCCAGAAATACCTGTTTTTCCCCTTCAGTATCAGAGGACCAGCTCAGAGAAGCGTTTGCCTGGGACGGATAGGCCGCGACTGGATCGAATCCTGCCTCTGAATCGGGACGCTGGACACAGCCTCACTGTGCACCCAAAGACTAAGAACAGCGCCACCAAAGCGGGCAGAGACGCACGCGCTCCTGACTGCTTTGACATCTCCCTCTCCCGCCCTCCCTCCCACCAATCTATCAGGGCAGCCCTTCCCAAGCAACAAACACAATCACACAGAACTTCAGCCCGCACTCGTCCCGCTCACTGACATCCAGAGCCAGGGACAAACCTTCAGCCGTGCCCGCTCCTCCCCCACTCAAACAGAGCACCAGGCGCGTGGATCCACTCCTCGTCCAGCTTTGCTCGGCGCAAATTCCAGCGGGGAGTCCTCATTCACACACCTGAAACACCAACGCACAACAACGCATCAGAAAAGGCAATCAGAAAAGGAATCAGCCTCCAGACAGGCTTTTCCGGCCGGCCGACGCCGCAGCCACACGAGCCCGTCGCCATCCTTGCCGCACCATCAGGCCCCGCCATCCACAGCCTCCTGCCGGCGCACTCCGGGCCGAAAGCAAAACTCCACCGAGCGAGGCCAAAAGCCAAACTCGCCATCCGGACGGAGCCCCGCGCTTCCCCGCCGCCATCTCCAAGGACCGCCGCCACGCAAACGACGCTCAGCGAGAGCGAGCGAGACGCCGGCTTCCCCGCCACGCCCAAACGAAGAGCGACGGCACCGGATCGCAGCGCGACGGCTCCCACCGCGCGACGGAGCGCGGCGCTGCCGCCGCCCGGGAGCCGCCCCGTTCGCCCCGGGCTGCGCTCCGGCACCCGCAGCCCTCGCGAGGACGCGCGGCCCGCAAAGCCGCGAGCCGGGACCCGCCTCTGGCTGCCGGCGGCGCCTCGAGCTCCTCCCCTGACAGCCCCTCGATGCCCCCGCGCCGAGGCCCGACCCGGTTCCCGGCACGGAGCCCGCTCCTCCCGGTCCCGCTCACCGCTCTCGCGCCGCGCTGCCCCGGATGTACTCTCCGCCGGCAGGAAGCACTTCCGGTCCGGGCCCTAGCAACCGCCTGCGGCGTCACGTTGCTAAGGGCGGCCTGCGGGCGGCCGAGGCCTGGGGGTGGAGTGGGGCGGCGGCCGGATTCCTCTCGGATGGCGCCGTAGCCGTGCGACTTTTCTCCTCCTCCTTCTCTCCTTCTCCTTCCTTTTCGTTCTTTCTCTTCTCTTTCCATTCCCTTTCTTTTCCTTTCTATTCCTTTCTTCTCTTGGCTTTTTCTTTCCTTTTCTCTTCCTTCTCTTCCCCTTCACAGTTCCCTTTTCCTTCCCTTTCTTCCTTCCTTCCCCTCCCTTGCCCTCTCCTCCCCTTCTTTCCCTTTCTCTCCAAGCTCTTTATCCAGCTCTGAAATGGAGTTGCATCAAGAAGATCATCTACGCAGGCAATAAATAACTTGTGCTGCATTTCATTGCTTTGTGCTCTTACCAGACTCGGATTTGGTTTGCCCTTCACTCAAGAATCACAGAATGGCCAGGGTTGGAAGGGACCTCAAGGATCATGAAGCTCCAACCCTCTGCCACATGCAGGGCCACCAACCTCCCCATTTAATACCAGCCCTGGCTGCCCAGGGCCCCATCCAACCTGGCCTTGAACACCTCCAGGGATGGACGGGGCATCACAGCCTCTCTGGGCAGCTGTTCCAGCACCTCACCACTCTCATAGTAAAGAACTTCCCCCTGACATCCAACCTCAACCTTCCCTCCCTCAACTTCAAACCATTTCCCCTTGTGCTGCTGTTATCAACCCTTTCAAAGAGTTGATTCCCCTCCTGTCTGTAGGCTCCCTTTAGGTACTGAAGGCTGCAATGAGGTCACCCTGCAGCCTTCTTTTCTCCAGGCTGAACAAGCCCAGCTCCCTCAGCCTGTCTTTGTAGGGAGCTGCTCCAGTCCCCTGATCATCTCTGTGGCTCTCCTCTCTGTCTTTCTCGTACTGGGGCTCCAGACCTGGATACAGCACTGCAGATGGGGCCTCACAAGAGCAGAGGGGAGGGGGGCGATCACCTCCCTGCCCCTGCTGGCCACCCCTCTTCTTGTGGCCCTTTCCTGAGCCCCAAGTATCAGGAGTGCCCGGCTGCTTTTGCTGCAGAGCCTTATTATCCAAGCACACAAAGACCTGGGGGAAAACCTCAGCAGCTACGTTTGTGCAGAGGGAAGATTTCATGCCAACGCACAGCCCGGCTTTCCCTGCTCTGCGCTGCCGGCGTCCCCTGCAGCCCCTGTGCTGTGACAACCAGCAGTGAGCTCGGGCCCAACGCCCGCTCACATCCCCATGAGGCAAAATCTGAAAACGTGCCATCCCAGCCCACTTCCAAGCCCCAGGAGCAGCTAAATCATTCATTTCTACGCTGCTGCTTCGTAACACAGAAGGAACAACAACAGGACTACCATCTCTTTAAGTCGTTTTATAAAAGTATTTGACTTACTGAGATACTGTTACAGTTACCTGAGTATTTGAAATTACAATACAAGGAAACTTCGACAATGAATTTCAGTACAGTATTTTACAATCCAGTGCTGCTGATCCCAGTTTATGTCCTAGTTCACTAGAGCATATATACACAAACAATGATTCTTGAAGAAAATTAAAAAGACACCCGCAAGAAAGGGGGCTGGAGATACCAATATAACAAAGAGTTGAAATCACAAATTCAGTGCAGCATGTAGTGGTAACGCAAACAAGAAAAATTAAACAGTTTTTTTTGTTCAGTTTTTTTTTCTTTTTCTGGAACACAAATAAATGCATTAAAATCCAAGCTTCAGTGCTAGATCAGATGAAGACACGGCGCATTTACTGCGCAGTTTCATACACAAACGCTTCCTGAGCTACTGGAGCAATAAGGCTTTGTTACTTTAGATCAGCAGCTCAGCATTCCGTTCATTTTTTCACGTCATTCTCATAAGGCAAAATTCTAAATAGAAGTTATTTTAATGCTTGAAAATTAGGATTAATTGGCAGCTACATATGAGCACGCATTTGTTATGCAGTATCAATTCACACAGCTCAGGCTGCTCAAGCAGTGGTGGGAGGAGCAGTGGGAGACAAATTCATTCACCTCTGCTGGAAGCCCAATGTTATGTGGGATAGCAGATGCTGTGGGTCATCCACGAGATGTTTCCACCACATCCCCATAAAGAACAGAAAAGTGCACCGCTGGTTCATATTGACAACTTTTTATTTCTACAGAACACGCTATAAAAAATTAACAGGCTTGTTAGCTTACAAAGTAAAAGGTTTACGTAAACTTTAGCTCAGACTTGAAGAACATTGCCAATTCATCAACCTAGTACTAGCTTACTTTAATTATTGGCCAAATACAATGTTTCACAGACTTTTTCTCCCAGCTGATTCTTTGTTTGCAGTATTCTAAAATCATTTCTGGTGCTTGGGATATCCAGCCCCCTCTCCCCATCCTAATACAGCAGGAAAGACACAAACATGCCACTTAAATTAAAGAAAGAAAAAATGGAGCAAGTGGAATCCGAGATTGCAAAAATATATACAAGCATTTACCTTTTTCCTGAACTAAACATTTCAACCATAAAAATATTAAACAGCCATACCCTATAGAACTAGGGCTAAGGCTATTTCAATTATAACTATTTTTTATTTTAAAAATATAGGGCTGAAAGCCTTTTGGGTGATATTTATACATTACCAACATTTCTAGCTTCCCTACATGAATCATAAATCATTATGCAGAACACAAACTATGTTTCGTAGCTTAATTTTGCATTATCCTGTTTAATTCAATCTCTCTTGTAAATATGTTAGATAGCTAGATTTCACTGTAAGAATTAATATAAACAGATTATTTATAAGGCTTTTTTCTTCTCCTTGTGAGCTGTATATGGTAAAATAGCCATCAAATGTCTTGAAATTGGCATATTTTCCTCCTAGTAAAACTGTGAAGCAAGGCTAGCTTTCACCGCCAGTGAAAAGGTGAAAGAGGATAATCCCTGGATCATCAGAAACTCTTTCCCATTGCTCTTGCTAGAATACACATGAAAAAAAGGAGGCATTTTCTCTAAGGTCTTATTATTCTTCTTTCCAGTGAGCATATATCACTTCAACTTGAAAAACTCTTTCAGAAGGTCAGTTAAAACTGTAATGCCTTGGTTCTTAAAAGGCCTGAATCAGATTTGCCCTCTGGCAGTTCAGACAGAAGGAAGGAAATGCTCTCTTCAAGACTGGAGGTTCGCTTCTAGTTTCCCGTTGTCCTGGTTCAGCTCCAGCATAAGAAGCCTCCTCAGAACAGCTGCTGCTGTCCCAGTGCTCTGAGCTACGGTTATGCTTTAACCTGTGCTACTTCAAGAGCCACGTTTCTGACCACGGCTAACAGCCACATCGACTCACAGACGTTTCCTTTCCTGCCTTCAGATAAGGAAGGAGCTGACCATACCTGAAAAGTGCATTCAGTCTAAAGGAGCAATAAAATGTCACTGTAAACCAGAAGAGAACTGAATATTAACAGATTTGAAAAGAAAGCAAAAGATGCTATAAATCCAGGAAGGACTTATTACAAAAGTTACTAGCTGTGTGAGCAGCTTAGGGTGACCTAGCATAGAAATCTTCCCCAAGAACTTGTTCTAATCTTTATAGAACTGTTTTCTGATGCTCCAACTCGTCAAAAGTCTGGAATCCGTGTATAAACTTCCAAGTCCTCTGATCTTAGCTAACGTGGCATTATCAGTTCCTCACCAAAAATGGTAAGTATTATCATCTTTAAAATCCAGCTATATTGTACCTCTTCCTGAGAAACCAACAAAGTCTTCAGAGAAAACTGACTGCAACATGGAAGAATAACACTGAGTATAATGTCCATTAACACTTCCCACAAGAAACATCAGTCTGCAAATGGGAATCTACATTGAATCAGTGCAATCCCAGGCGGCCTCGTCTTTTGCAAAACAAGGGAAGAACCACAGCGTTAACACAGTTGTAGAAGTTAGATGTGTTACACAGAAAAAGATCAGAACTCTTCGGAGGGCACAAGCAAACGTTCCAGCAACTTTGGGCAGACGTTTATTTTGCTGAAATTCACAAGACTGTGAGAAAAACAAAACAAAGCTACGCCCTGGATTTGTGCCACAGTTTGACATCCCCTTAACAGCAGTCTGAGTCCCACTGGCACGTGAGCAGACTCCGGGCAAGGAAAAACAGTCCAGCCACACTTGAGTTAAAAAAATAGCTTAAGCGATGAATTTGCTCACAGTAGGCAGAGGACGGTCACAAGTCGGCCCAATAACACTGCTGTAAAGAGGTTATGATGTTGCTGCAGCATTGCAGCTACTAATGAACTTCCCAGTACATCAGTAGCAAAATATGCTACTAAAAAGGAAAGACAAAACTATTTTAAAAAACCTGTCAGTCATTAAGGACACATTCTAAGTAATGAAAGGTAAAACAAAGCAGAGCCCAAAGCTGTATTACATCTCTACTTGGGTCATAACTCCTTTGTAGCCATACCTGATCGCGTTTTGATTTCTGAAAGTGCTCAGTAGAAATCCAGAGTTAATGTGGATAAAACCTCAGGATAACATCCATTGACTTACACACTAGTGTTGTTAAATAAATCCAAGTCAAGTCTACTTTACAATGAAGTGTGCAACAAGCAGAAGAAGTGAAGAAGAACATCGTGTGGAGTTCACATTCTTCAAGGTGCAAATCACAGCTATTCCTGTCCAAATCCTTCTGTTTCTTCAATTGCAAATAACAGCTTCTCCTTCAACTGCTCGTAATTCTTATAGGGTGGAAGGTCTAGGCGATTGAAACTGAAAACAAAGGAAAACTTTAATTATTGTGGAATTATTTAAACCACCAAAAATCCATTAGGAACACAGGCATATCAACTTTCCTGTTTAGAGGGATAACTGGATTTATACCCTCTAACACAGCTGTACCTTCATGTGCATTTATCTGTGAAAGTGGAGTTAAAGCACAAGCACTCTAACAATAATTTTCCAGAAATGGTGATGCACTCAGTAAGAAGCCTCACTTCATCTCTCTTTTGTATTTGAAATTTAAAATTTGAGCTTTTTCACAAAGCACCAGTGTAACTGAGACACTGAGCAGAAGCTGCAATTTCTCCAGCGAAGAGGGAGCACGAGTGTGCCTATTTGTTTTCAATGCCAAGATAGACCAATCCCAAACTCCTGGGAAAAAAGTGCTACTTACTACATTTTTTTCTTTTCAGTAGTGTGCAAATCCATGGCATTCACAATGGAGTCAGCTCCACAACAAAACTGTTGTTCAGAAGTTCAACTATTATTCAACAAAGCTTACTGGCATAACCCAGTGTTTTGCTTTCACACAATCTCAGCCACTTTCACATATTACCCACTTTCTAAAATCTCAAAGTAGATTGTCATCAGTAAAAACAGAACCATAACAGAATTTTATCCTATGTACTTACCAGGTGTGACTTCTAGGTAACCAGTTTTCCTTCCCAACTTTCTCAATACAAAATTTTTGGGGTCCATTGCTCCCTGTAAAAAAAACAAATAATCAAGTCTCAGGTCTAGCTGCCTACCTGTATCAGTAGTAATACATGACAACTGAGTGTGAAAGGCTTGAGGAGAAAGCAAGACTTTAACTACTTGCAGAGACCAAAGACATCTGCTTTCCCTACATCTCTCTGAAGAAACCCACGTAGCCAAACACAGAAATATGAAGTGGTTCTGAAAGAAACTCAATCACTGAATCACATAACTGCTTTGGTACTGGAAGGAATCTCTGGACTTCTCCTAGTCCTTCCACTCTGATCAGGCAGGGATACCCAGAGCAGGCTGTCCTACCAGGACCACGTCCAAACCATCTGTCAGATCCCTGATGGAAGGCGTTAACACTGCCCCGTCCCTTTTTCTGTCACAGCTCTAGCAGTATGCAAGACTTAGGAAGAGGAGTCAATAAAAATTCATAAAAAATATCCTTACATATACAGGTTGGTCCTTATTAAAGAAAGGAATTAATAGAAGTACAAAATGCATTAAAGAGGGCTTGTTACCCATGAGGTCAGCAAATCCTCCCACTGGCAATCTGCACGTTCCAGTAACGAATTGTAGAAGTCTCATTCTCTTTTCGTTATCTATTTCTTTTACAAACTGAAAAATAATAATTAACATTGATGTAAAATTTAGTATTTACATTTTCACTTCATCATCAACCCTAGAATAGCTGGATTAGCAGCAATAATTTATATTTACACACTACAAATCTGTTGAGTAATTCTGACTGTTGCTCACTAAGCTGTTGCTGTGCTCTTCTGAGGAAAAAAGCAGTCTACAAACCTGCCAGAACCACAGTATCTGTCTGCTGGTTCTGGTATAATGCCTGTAGATGGTATGCCTCTGCCAGTCATTTAAATCAATTTCCTGCATTCCACACAGGAGGACCTTGAGGGGAGAAAAAGGATAAAAACATGAAACTACAAGCTACTGCTTTGCTTCTACAGCAAACAGAGTACTGTACTCAAACTCTATTGTACTTCAAAGCACCTACAATCACAGCGTTCTCATTTTTCATTTTAAACTTCAAAACTTCCACAGCAAATAATAACAACCACTCACGAACAGAATTTGGAGAGACCACAAAATAGAAAAGCCATTTGTGAAAATGTTTGTATTTAGACATTCAAGCCAGGAATGTATACTTTGTCACTGCCTAACCATACAATTCCGTGCTAGAAATGATGTTTTGCTTCAGAGTATAATTTTGAGAGACCAAAAGTAGCTAAAACCTGGTCCACTCAGTAATGTGATCATCCACTGATATTGGCTTTTTACCTCCCTTTCTTTCAAATTACTCATTCTTTAAACAAAAGCAAATCTCACTGTCAAGGATTTCAAAAGCAATCAGTCAAGTTTATACTGGCAGAATCTTTGCACTAGAAACGTGTCGGTTGTGAAGAAGAAAGTGAAGAAGAACACACTCACCAAACACTCACCAAACACTCACCAAACACTCACCAAACACTCACCAAACACTCACCAAACACTCACCAAACACTCACCAAACACTCACCAACACGTGAGGCTTCTCTCACACATTCTCAAAACAGAACTGTCAGCCTTCACGAACTCTGTTCTTCAGACACTGACTGAAATTTAAGTACTACGTGTCACAGCCTGGATCTGGCAATAGTCAAACAATCCTTTACCTCCAGTTCCTTAGCATCAAAATACTGCAGATACTGCTGTGGCAGAATTTCATTGAAGCCTTCAAAAAACGCTTGTGTCTGTTCCTCAACACCTCGGGAAAGTCTCCATTCTGCTACCAGCCTGTAGAAGATACAGGAGGATAATTTACAATGGGCTATGCCAACCCAAGTTAATCTCTGTTAGTTGATTCTGAAATGAACTGTAAGTGATGTTAAGAAAAGTTATGTAAAGTCTGGGAAGTTCCGGGGATAGAGCACTGTGCAACTGCACCTGCAGCCTTCACTCTGTGCCAACAGTTTCGAGTTAAAACCCTGTGTTTCCAACCACTGCTACGGAAAGCATTTGAAGCTCAAACAGGAGGCAGCATCTACTCACTGATGATATTAATGAGAGCACAGCAGTCCCTAGGTATTTAGAGAAGGAAAAAAAAGGCAGAGCTAATTCATCTAATATTGTCCCCAGAAATCTCAGTCATTATCCATGACAAGGTAAAATCTAGGTCAGGTGTACTGGTGAAGATAAGTAGGACTGCTAGCTTACCAAGAAACGACTATGTCCATTTGGAAAGTTCCATATTTGTTTCTGTTAATCATGAAACTTTGCTCTGTGGTAGAAACTCCACTCTCCATTAACAAAAAGGTGAAAAGCAGGCAGGAGACCCGAAGAACCTGAACCCAGGGAGAAGCAGATATTATGCTGAATTCAAGCCTAACCTGTCAGGAGAACTGGAATCTAAAGGAGAGATGAAACTCTGGGGAACATAACACAGGACCCAGAGTATGGCAGAAGAATATTACTTAGGCTGCAATCCGAGCTCTCCCTGGGTTCCTCAAAACTAGAAGAGAATGGTCTTCTGCAGATACTGCTTACTCTCCATCCCAATCAGTATTTTGCACAACTGCAAAATTCCAATATGTTCCTTCTGCAAATGTTACAATTTCTGTGAAATGTTCTTGGACGACTCATGAAAGCAATTCCTACTCTCTCATCTCTCAAACCTTTCCCACAAAAAGCCTTCACAGAACACATCATAAGAAAGAGGAAAATTTTACTGATTCAATTTATCTCATGCCTGCCATGTGTGCAGTGGTTTCTTGTTTGTTTCCTCTTTGTTTTGAGCAGATCCTCTGTGTAAGATGATGCTGAAGTTCACACCTTAAAGCAGAGCTTGTACACTGCTGCTCACTGGGGATATTTCGAGACAAGGAGGGGATCTTTTGAGACAAGGCACCTCATAGTTTTTCTCCAGACCATCTGAGCTCATGGTTTTCTTCTGTAATCACTTGTAGGCTCCTTTCCTTGCTTTAAAACCTTCTGGTGCTGCTATATCATAATTCCTCATTTACGACAGTACAACACTTCACATTATTCACAATGCTGCCTTGTTACAAATGCCAGGACATAACAGCACTGTAAGGGCAGTTCACATGGAAACCAGTATCGAAACAATGCATTTTTAAAAACTCAAGTTTACCACAAAAGCATCTAAAAATGTTCTTTGGCTAAAAACAAGCAACAGCATAAATGGCTGGAGAGAATATCAGCAGTCTACAAAGGCAAAATGTGAATAATAATGTGTGCAATGGGGAACCACCATTCACATTTGTTGCCATGATGTTCTGCTAAACTGAATTATTTCTGGGAAAAAAAAACAAACAAGTGGAGCTTCTACTAAACTGAATCTTTTGGGAAAAGTAATATACAGTAATATATTTTTTAAAATATTTCCATCAATATTTTCCTTCCAAACGCAGATTCTGAACGATTGCCATATTTTGCCAACATCAGTAATTATTCATAGACAGAATTTCAATAATGCTTCATATTGCATAGTGACAGCATTTTCTTGATTGAGATAAAAGAAACAGGAGAGATAAGAGTATTTCAAAATCTTCACTTAATCTTACCTAATATATTCTTCTTTGTTTTCTTCTGTCACGAGAATGTTGCTACCATTTGGCTTCAAATCATGGCTTTTGATTTCACCCAGAATTTCTTTATCAACTGAGAAAAACATTTCCAAGCCACATTCTTCAATATCATTCTCTCTGCAAGGAAGAAAACGTGATAATAAATAACCAGGTCCAGACTGTGCATGCAGTAGAATTGATGTGTATGAAGAATATAAGGACTTTTCTTAATTGTTTAGAGCTCAAGAATCAAGTTAAGGAAATGTTACACAATAACTGTGGTTCTGTAAGATTCACCCCACTGATGTGCATAAGCAAACTGTGCACTAGGTACAATAGCATCCTTAAATTCATGTCACTGGGCTGACAAACTACCCACTGCCTCTAAGCAGAATGCCCATGGAATACAAAAACCTTTCAATAATGACACTGTTGTGTTTCACTACCCGCTGCCTTGCCAAGTAATAGCAGATAAGAAGAAAAAGACTCAGAATGCTTAATGAATTATCTTCAACTCCAGTATATTTATGGGACTATCTTGTAAACGTATCAAAACATCCCAAGCTCCTAAGTTAACAAAATAATGCATTCCTGAGAAAGAGGAATTTTCTCATTAGAGACTTCGAAGTAAGAAGAACCTTCATTCAACAAACACTGCTGGGATCTCTGTTCTCTCTATACGGTTCAGTAGCCAGAATAACAGGTGCATCATTGTAACGTCTATGTTGGTAAGTGCTCCTACACAGCAGCGACGCACATAGGCAGGGTGCTGTGCTGGGGCAGGCAGGGACAAGGCTGCTGTACCCACGGCAGCCACACGGTGCTGCGCTTTGCACTTGCTGCTAGAGCAGCACTGGTCGCACAGCCACGTTTTGGCTCCTGCCAAACAGTGCCGGCACAGCATCAACTCTGCAGCCCCTGAGCCAGCAAGGCTGGGTGTGGGCAAGAGGAGGGGGAAGGGCCATCAGCAGGGCACTGATCTACACTGACGGAAGGGATGTTGCACACCAGGTGATGCCACACACAGCACAAACAGCTGGGGAAGGGGCACAGCATGTACTGAGGTCCTGCTTTCCAAGGGGTGGCCAAACACTGCTTACTACTGATGGATCTCCCATCCCTCGGGGTGTCCAAGGACAGGCTGGATGGGGACAAGATGATCCAGTGGTTGGCAACCCTGCTGGCAGCAGTGGAGCTGGAACCAGATGGACTTTGAGGTCCCTTCCAACCCAGGTTATTCTATAACGAGCAGAGGATAATTGTTTTCTTCCCCTGTACGGCCTCTGCTTGATGTTTTTCTTTTTCCTCTTTTTCCTTTAAATTGTCCTTGTCTCAACCTATGAGCGTTTCATTCATTTATTTTCCAACCACATTTTCTTTCCCCCCTCTTCCTTTGAGGAGGGGCAGTGACAGCATGGGGTGGTGGTGTTCTGTTGACAACTGATGTGAAACCACCACTTGATGAACACTTCCAACATAAAATGCAAGTGTCCTGAGCTACAAACATAGAAACAGCAATACTGAAAACACCACCGTGATGTATTTAGTGCTGTGATGCAACGGTGCTTCTCAATTTCATCTCTCCAAAATACAATATGAAATCTCAGGAGAGCTGATGGATGGCAAAATAAAATTACTTCCTTTCAAATGAAAGACACCTGCTTTGACTCGGCTTGAGCAGAGGGGCCTCACTAGACAAACTCTCAAGGACTTTCCAAACAAAGTAATTCTGCAGATTTTCTGAAACAATGGAAATGAGAAAAACGAGCAGAAAGCGATTCCACATTACTGCAAAACTTCCTGGGAACTTGCATCATTTGCTTTTTTGGTGATTAATAACATGGTATCCACACTCTGCCAGCTGTGATTTTTTTTTTTACTGCACACTTGCAGTCATTTCCTTCAGCAGTGCTGGTAAGCAGGTCCAGCTGCTGACCTGTGCATGTAGAGCTCAGTGCACAGTGCTTAGAGGTCTGAAGGTTCTTCTCTGAAATGCTCACAAACTTCCGTGTTTACTCAAAAAGGGGCAAAGCTTTCATGAACTCCAGATTAGAAGACTGCTGTATCAGTACAGACACTGCAATTGATATACAGCTTGTGTTTTTGCTAGAGATAGCTTTCAGAAAACTTCTTGCTACAGCCCTAAGTTTCCTCATCGCTTTTTTTTCTGAGGCAACGAACTAGAAGTTAAAAAAAAAAAAAAAAAAAAATCCAAACAGCCAAACTAGCCAAAATTAAACCCCCTCAAAATACTAAGTGTAAATTAATAAAAGCGTATGTAACCAGGAATTTGAAACTAACATTTAGAGTGAAATGCAAAAGCTGTTTTTGACAAGTTCTGAGTTTCCTAGCTCCCTACTTCCTGTGTAAGCTTCTCCTGGTAGGACTGCTGGTCCTACTTGGAAACATACTCAAACTTCTTGTACTTGGAAAGCTCACACAAACTATCACCTGAATGCTGTCTGGTAATGCTGCACACGTTGAAGTAAAGGTGAGGAGGGGGAAAAAGTGATCTGTAATATCTACAAGTCCTCTTCACTGCCACTGACAAGTAGCTTAGTACTGATATGCAGAAGGCTCTGTGCTCTCTTTTGATCCATTACAGTAACACAAGCATCAGAAGAACTATACAGAGAATAAATACAACACACTTCTGCACCAAAAGACCTTCAAGTTATCTATCAGATGTTATTAAAAAAAACCCAAAACACTGCTTTGAAATGTGCAAACGATAGTGCTGAACAAGTGCCCAGCTCACCTGTACTGCACAGACAAATGCAAAGAGGTGGCTATGTTCACACAAGGTTAATACCACTCCTTCACTCTTAGACTTTCCACAGAACAGGAATGGATTGACATTGTTCTCAAGGTAAATTTTGTTACACGTGGTACTTATTAGAATTTATTCACAAGTTCCATGTGCCTTGATTAAAGAGTAATTAGTGTAAATTTCTTTCCTGTAGCTTGCCTTTCTCTCACTGCTGTATTTGTTTGGTTTCTAAAACCCAGTGAGTCATAGGATAACTGTGGGAATACAAGAAAAACTGTTTAGAGCAGCAGCTGTGGAGCAAGATAAACAGCATGAGGACCAAGGACACCTCTAGAAGAACGAACATCTCACGGCTCTGACTGGAGAAGTGCCTGCATGAATGGTTGAAGAGTGTTTGTAGAATGCTCTGCTGGCATGTAAAGGTGGATGGGGAAGTTGTAGGGGTGGATGGGAAAGCTAGAAAAAGAAAACCTGTGAAGTGATGTGAGAACTTGTAAGAAATGATTTGGATCATTCACATCTGAGTCCGTGCATCAGACGCTGCAGATAACAAATGGTGTCTTCTTCTTATAAAGAAAGAAATACACACCTACTAGAGGTTCTTTAATTACAAGAATCAAGCCTTCCATCTTTTTTTCCCTTTCAGGTCTCAATTTCTCAGCATCTTTACTCGAATACCAACTACTGAAGTTTCCTAATGAAATGTTCACTTACACACCTTCTAACAGCACATTACCCAGCACAGAACAGGCTACTTTTTCAAAACTGATCCAAAACTCCTATTTCAACTTGCAATTATCTCAAAAGCTCTCTCTCCCTTTCTTCCTTGCTTACGATAACACTCCCAAGATTCATCACCAGAGATTCACTACTTTTTGTCTGTCATGTTTCTGCTTTTAAAAAATGCATTCATCTCCTAAGCTTTTTAAAAAACGCTTCATCGTTCTGGAGTGAAATAAGTTTTACCTCTCTAGACACATAAACCAGCCTAACTCTGCAGATTTTAAAAAAATTATTATTTATTATTATAGCAGTAGAAGTTTTGACTTTTTGTCCCTTCTACTCCTCAGCCCCCAGGTCTTGCTTTTAGCTGTCAGGAAAGGAAAATCACCACTGCTATTAGAAGAAACGATGCATAACAACCCTCGAATCTTGCTCTTACAGAATTAGTACCGAATTACAGTGCCTTAAAACTAAATGCTGTTTAAAATTATTACTAAGTGGTATTTTTTGTGACATTTCCAAAATAGTTCTTGTCCATAAACTGCAGATCCTTTCTACTTACTGCTCTCTGGAGAGGAAATCTGCAAAGGAGTGAAGGAGGACTTAAAAAGAATACGAATGTAGAGCATACAAATGATTGACAATGCATACATGGAAGGCTAGATGTAGAAATGGGCTTAAATCATCCACCTTGGAGCAAAAAAGCAACAACAGCTAGAAAATATACAAGAATTAACTTTAAATCCTTGATATTAACTGTTCAGTAAAAAATGCAGCTACGACTGACATAAGAATTATGTGACAGCAAATAATAATCTACATTTACTAACTGCAAGTCACTGTAAGTCCCAATGTGCTTTCTAACCAAATCAGCTATTTTAAAGCACTACTGACAGGATTTTTGCTGATTTCTTTCGCTGATTTCCAGGTTCAATGGAATTTACTTGTGTTATTAGTAACAGCATGCAAGAGTACTGCTTCTGTCTAGCTACATTTATTTAAAAATAGTAATAATGGAACACAAGATGCTGTGCAGAATATCCAGTGAACTAAAAATGCAATGAAGTCTTGCATATCTAATTATTTGTGTATCTCAAATGAGAGTAAAAGTTCCATTGCTGTTCTGTAATTGACAAACCCTGCTGCTCACTGGTGGTTTGGGTTTTTTTCAGTAATAAATTTACATTCCCTTTCTGGCATAAGTGAAAAAATAAACATTTTATTGCCATTTCAAGAACAAAATCAAGTCAAACTCACTTTACCCAGATGAGAGAGTTGTAAAACTCTGGGTCAACAGATTCTAAATCCTTGAGTCCTACTGGCTTGTTTAAGATACGTTTATAGAACGGCAGAGAGAAACCAGTGTCAATGAATTTTCCATGGAACAAAGCCTGAAGAACATGAAAACAGACAAAATAATGCAAAGGATGACTGAATACTCAATATGACAACATTCTGTACTGTGAACCAACGAAATTTGAGAGCTCAATATTAGAGCAACCCAGAATATTACAGCTGCTAATATATTTGATTCATTTATACTCATAGTAGTTATACCCAAACACCTCGTAAAAAATTTAGCTCAAAGATGCATTTTTAATTATTCATTTGATGACAAAATATTTAAAGGAAAAATTGCAGAGATAACTTTTGTTTTTGAACATACCATGGCAATGAACCTTCCAATAAAACGGAAGTATTTCAGATGGTCTGGATTAATGTAGGAGGCTGGGTTTATCTGTAAGCAGTAGTTATCTTTTCCAGCATATTCAAACAGGCAATACATTGGGTTCAAAACTTCATGTGATAACAGAAAGAACCATTCCCTGAAATCACAAACAACAAAAAGGACATTTCAAAAGATTAAAAATGAGCTGAACGAACTGATAAGCTGAAAGTTGACCTAGAAACTTGCCAATACAAGTAGTCAAGCTGACTTCTTTCCCAGAAATTATGGCTAAACTGAACTGAAACTAACAAAAATGATGGTTTAGTAAGCAAAGTTACAATGTTATCCTACCATCAGTGGTGTGAAAAATGACTCCTCATTTTAAACAGCCAATTAAAATGCTATCATGGGCTTAAACTGTAAACTTTTAGGCAATGCTAATTAATTTATGCTCTTCTCATTATATTCACGTAAGAGGTTTGACTTGAAAGTAGATTTCCATGCATTTTCAGTAAACCTCTACTGTGGCTATCAACAATCATGACAAAGCCAATAAACTCTGCATCTGTTGAGACAGATTAAAGCAATTCCTAAAGTGAACTGAAAAGAGTCTTAAACAGCTTTAAGGCATGCAGTGATATTCTAAGGAAAGATAAGGAATGAGCTTTGCTAATATTCTGAAAGCGCTGCAGTCCAAGGACGTACTTCAGAGAAGCCTTCAGAAAAGCTTGCAGGAAAAACCATTATTTGCCATTTTAGTTCAGCTTACCTTGCAACACCTCCATAATCTAAGCCTTCTTCACCAGGGAAAATAACCCACAAACGTCTCCGCAGATCCTGAGGGCTGAAGCTCATTATCTTAGTAAAAGAAAAACAATCCATTTACGTGAAGAAAACAGCTATAAGCATTGGCTGGGCATATTACTATTTACTACACCAAGCAGCATTCAACGAATCACGAACTCATGAAATAGCAGAATCATAGGATTGCTCAGGTTGGAAAAGACCTTAAAGATCATCGAGTCCAACCACAACCCAACCATCCTACCCTAACTCTAACAGCCCTCTGCTAAATCATGGCCCTGAGCACCACATCCAAACAGTTTTAAATGCATCCAGGGATGGTGACTCAACCACCTCCCTGGGGAGCCCATTTCACTGCTTAACAACCCTTCCTGTAACAAAGTTTGTCCTGATATCTAACGTTCATTGAGGGGTTAGAACATATTTCCACAAATTAACAAGAAAGAAAAATAATAATTTGCAAATCAAAGACTCATGCTTAGGCCAACAGCCTGCACATAAGTACCTGACAAAAAAATAGAAAACAGCCAAAAAATAACACGGGGGCCAAAGCACATACATTCAGGATCTTTAAAATACAACAAGTTACAAGCAGTGAAGAAAAAACGCAAAAACAAACAAAGAAACAAACAAACCACCTAGAATGAAAATTGTTTGCAATGACAGGCATAGAATTTGGATAAAAAATTATTTTAAAATCTCTACTAGCCTGTAGTTATCATCACAGCAAATTCTGTATTTCCAACACAAATAACTACTACTGACAAATGATTAACTACAGTTTGGTCTTTGTGGTTATGTCATCAGAACTACTGATCAAGCAGCACGTTCTCTTAAACATTCCAAGGTTTGTTGACATGCCCATGGTCGTACTACCTCTCTCTTGCTTCTTTCTAGTAGTAACATAATTTTATTACTTCAACAATTACTATAAAATGACAAAGTGCAATTTCAGAAATTAGTTTGGAGTCAATTTGCAGTTCCAGGGCTTGTTTTGTCTGCTACCAGCCCCCTTTATTATTTGACCAAGCAGATTCTCATGTTGTTTCTGCATGCTCAAATTTGTTTCTATCAGACTGAAAAGCAGCTGCTCTCAGCTTCTATTTAACAAGCAACAGAAGCAATTATTGCCACAATTAACATTAAAAAAGTAAAAGGAGAATTCCAAAGCACTTACAAATACTGTACAGAAACAAATTTTAAGCATGGTTTAAGTCTCTAAGCATTGTGAAATTTTGCTACTAGTAATTTAAATACAATTCATCATTTTGGTTTTCTTCAACCACCTCATTACTCTTCTGAAGATCTGTAACACTGAGACAAAGTTCAGCTTAATGTATTTTGGTACAAAAGTGTGCTTATGGAACACAGGATAAGTGTGCCAACACAGCAGAGCACGCTAACTTCCAGAGGAGGGGGAGCTGCACTCTTCCCAAAGCAACATTTTAAAGAACTTAGTGGAAAAATAAATAATTTATATGCATATATAAACAGATAGAGAAGCCATAGATATATTTATATTTGTTTCATGGACACAGTGACACTTGGAGACACAATTTCACATTTTTGCATAATCTTTAAATATACAAGCAAGGCTGCATGCTGTTAGTTATTGTTAGTCTCTATTCAAATAACATGATTAAGATGTCAGGGCATTAAGAATGACACACAGACAACAGATTACTTCAATTCAACTTCTCATGCCCACTACTAATATGTTTTAGTACAATACCTGTTGAAATGAGTCTTCAAATAATGTTTTTCTGCTCACTGTGATCTTTATGTGTTGTGGCATTGCCAGTTGCTGAAATGACATTTTGCAGAGGTGAGATACACAATCACTTCATGTTTCTAATACTGTTTTAACTGTAGTTTACTACAGACACTGTTTTAAGAGGTAAAGGTAGATGTCACTAATCCATATAAGCAGCCAGCAATCAAGACACTTTCACTTCAATTTATGCCAAGAACAATTGCTTCCACAACTGAGATCTACAGCAAGGTACACAGGTCTTCTGATCCTGCTTTGAACAGCTTCAAAGTGTACTCTGCCAGAACGTAGGAAAACATTAAGATCAAACACATGCTCTAAATCAGCAGGCCTTCCAGCACAACATTTAGTAAAAAAAAACCAACATTCTGTGGTTGTTCTGTGCAAGGTGAAAAATTAAGCTCCACTCTGCTTTTTCAAACTATAATTCATGGACTTCTGAAAACTGAACCAGTTAAAACAAAGACTTTTTCCAAGGCACCAAGTTACATAATCCTATGGTATTTGCAGAATTTAAAGGACCAAGACTAACAGTGCAATTTGCTCCTATGTGAGGCCATTCCAATCTGTAACATAGGATATTCTTCCAAGCTTAGAATAAATGTTCTGTGCCAGACATCTTGCTCTTTCTTTCAGAAGCATTTATGCAGAAACTACATCGTGTATTAACCACATTTCAGAACACTGTGCTTTCACACATCTACTTACTGACAGCGTAAGGAAAACTGCACTCTTAAATTCAGCAGTTTGCAAAATAAACTGTAAATAAATGTAGGTTTTCTATACCAAGTTTTAAAGCTGCCTTCCCACTTCCATCAGTTTATGCAGGCCTGGTGTTTTTTCTCCCCTTTTTAAATTCACTTAAAGTAGGTTAATTAATTTTATTTGATTAATCTTATTTGTAGAGCATTGAATAAGTGGTTCATTCACAGCAAGCCAGCAGAACACAGAAAAGCAAACAAATGTTCCCAATAAAGAAATCCATACCTGACACCAGAATCGGAAATAATGGACCTTTGCCTTGAAATCCCGAACATAGGCTATGTGGGGCCCATTGTCTCTGGAACCAAAGCAAGAAGAAAGAATTTCAAGAGTGTTTCCGTAATTTAAGACAAAGTCTGCTGATTTATTATCTGTGTAGCTACACGGTTCAGTTGGCTTTCTGGCTGGATATTCTTTTCACTTGAGAATGTAGGTTTTTTGTATTTTTAAACTAAAACAACCTCTCCTTTGTAAACAGTAAAGTGTATATGCAGCATTTTTTCAACAGTATCTACCTGTTAATTGTATTTAGAAATGTAATAAGAAGAATGGAATGTCATTGACCATTCGGTTAATTTAATTTTGTACTTAAGTTCTGGTTTTAATTCCACTTAATCTCCTAAAATGCAAATAAAGAAAGTGTATTTACAAAAAGAAAGACTAGTAAATGGAAGAAAGGGATCTGGTCATTAGAAATACCAATAACCCTCATGTCATATCTACTAGTTAGCAAGGGGAATTCTGAAGTGTTCAAAACACTCCTCTTCAGGAGGAGTTATCAGTGGACTAAAAAAAAAAAAAAAAAGAAAAAGGTTACATGAAAAGCTTCCTGTACACAAAACAAAGAGGAAATAAACTTTCAAAACCGATGGCTGTTGAACTTCACGTTTAAAAGCTAGTAGTCAAAGACACTTACAGAGCAGACTTGCCCGTGCGGGGATCTATGTATGTAGTGGTTCTTCTATTGTGATCCACAAAGTACGGAATGCCATCCACAGTAAATCGCATTTCCCAACCCTCAGGTAAGGGTTTCTCATTTAATTGACTGTGAGTACGAGAAAACACATGGGAACTTCATGCAACTTAACACAATTAAGGCAACCGATCAGTGACTGGAGGCAGTAACAATTTTAGTGTGTCTAGAAGTGCAGGCTGAGAAACTTTCCATTTATTCTGTCTTGTTCTCTCCAATTTTCAAGTCAGCTCTCAGACCACAGTGATTGTTTAAACAAATTTTTAGCTCTTTCAGTTGCATTATCTAGTATAACAGCAAATAGAAACTGTCATTTTTACTCTGAAACTGACACTGCCTTACTAAATAGCTTTAGCTACCTCACGTATAATTGCAGTAGCCAAAAGCTTCGAGTGTTTCAGAATGACAAAAATAAAAGAACATAAAGGAAATACAAACAGCGCTCTTGTGTAGTTTTTTGACAACTTCCAACTCAAGTTTGCTATCAATGTAAGTGTATCTTGAAATACTTGGAAATCTTCAGCAGTATCCACCAAAGTGTTCCCAGAGACCTTCCCCCATGGAAAGACACTGTAGGATCATGTTTCAAGCTATAAATGTAGGTGGTTATTAGAAGTAACAGTGTTTTCCATTCAGTTAGCTGCTGCGGATGTGCCTGGCACAAAGGCCGTGTTCTCTGGCTACAGCTATTAGCACCTCCACTTCTCTTCCTCTTGCGTAAGGGAGAGGTGAAGTTGTTTCACCTGATGGAAATTTTCATCTCACTCAGAAAATCTGGGATGAAACATCCTTCACTCTTCACTTCCTACCTCAGAGAGACAAAGAAACTGGACCCCAAACTAAATAGTAATAACACTGATCAATTACTTGTGGTGGTGTCTCAAGTTTTCTTTGTTTCTCTTTTGTAGTTTTTTTTTTTTTTTTTTTTAATTTAAAAAAATGATAAGGAGGAAGTGCTGCGGTTCCTGGAGTTTGTGTTTTCATCTCTATCTCTTTGCTATTGTCTGTTTGATAAACAATATTTTGACTCAGAATCTTCTACATCACAGGATGCATGAAATCCTTCTCTCTCTCCCGCAGCAATACAAATCTACATACAATATATAAAAATAGTAGGAACTGTTCAGGGGAATTAACTCATTGCTGCTGACCAAGATTTTCCTGCTAACTCTATTATTACTCTGTGATATTTTTGACAATCTCCATTTCAGTGGTATCCTTTAAAAATCACCGTCTGAGAACTGTGTATAGGACATGGGGGAATGGTTTTAAACTGGGACAGGGGAGCTTTAGGTTGGATATTAGGAGGAAGTTTTTCACCCAGAGGGTGGTGAGGCACTGGAACAGGTTGCCCAAGGAGGCTGTGGATGCCCCATCCCTGCAGGCATTCAAGGCCAGGCTGGATGTGGCTCTGGGCAGCCTGGGCTGCTGGTTGGTGACCTGCACACAGCAGGGGGTTGGAACTGGATGATCTTTAAGATCCCTTTCAACTCAGGCCATTCTATGATTCTGTGACAGCCTATGTTTGAGCCACAAGCAGCACCACCGAGCCCTCATCATCGTTACTTTGTTATATTTTCACTTCAGATTTACAAGAAGCTGCAATTGATTTCTTACCCCTGACTCCTAGGATCTTCCCACTGCGTGATACGTGTGTTGTGATTGACAAAATACACTCTGCCATTGCTGTCAGTTCTTTTTTCTAAAAATATACAAAAGGAAAACAAATTTCAAGACCTAGGTTACCATACTATTGAAACATGAAATTAAACAAATAAATCCAACTACCAGAGCCTGCCACAGCCTCACCTGTGTCCAAGTTTCTCCATACCTCCTCAGACACAACAGCTTTTCACTTTCATTGACATTATGCCTTACTACGCTATTCACAAACAGGAGTTTATCTAAATAATTCCAACTGCTAATAATCATATGAAACTGCATCAATCACCCATCCCCAGTGAAAAGCTGCACTTATGGTGTTCATGCAGAATTTCTTAGCATCTCAATTTTTACCATGAAAAGATCAGCTGTCTATAACTGTGCAGCTAATAGCAGTGAGTCTGGACATCACAGTAACAACAGAAACATTTGTGGGAAGGAAACAGTTAACCACAAGAGATTCACCTTCATTACACACTCTGGCCTTCTTCTAGCACTTCTTAAAAAGCTTTTTCAGGTATTTTTCCAAGTTAAAAATGTATAAGAATTAAAACATAGATAAGATGATTTTCTCTATTAAGATCCTTTACCATGTTTTTTTTTAGCTCTAAGAAAAAAACAATTGGAAGCAAGCAAAAAGAGAAGCTGTTTTCTCCACAAGAAATCCCAGCTGCTTTGATTTTTGCTACATTATTCACAAACCATACAGACAATGAAGACAAAAGAGGCTGCAGAGGTACATAAAAGAATCAAGAGAGTACAAAGGTTTGTGAACAGCAGTATCATCTTTCATACTCATCTAACAGACAGGAAATGAAAGTGAACGTGGTTTCCAAGGTTTTTGCTCAGGTAAATATATGTCCATGACTCTAAACCGTTTACAATAAATGCAAGGATTTGGTCTTCTGGATCATCTGGCATTTCTTTACACCATTTTTATTTAGGGAGATACGAGGCATGCAGAATGTAGAAGACAAATGACAAAAAAAGGCCAAAGTTTGACTACAATAGGTAAAAAGCTCCAATTTACAAGGGAAGTCTGGAAGCAGACACTTGTCTACAGGAGCTGCACTGGCAGCAGCATTCATCTCAATATGGAAATGCAGTTTCATGGCTTCCCAAGCAACATCAGTCTGGAAAACACGCTTTGAAATATTGCGTATGTAGTGCAACAAAGCACAACAATGTCACGGCGTGATGTTGCATCTACATGAGAACAGAAATCTAAGTAATGTTTGAAAAACAAAACAACAAAATCCCAACTCTAACTCTGACAGGCAGCCACTTGCTTTAAAATTAAACAACCCTGATAACACTGCCTGTGTATCATGAAACTTGAGTTCTCACATCTGCTTCACAGTCACAGCAGGAATTAAATTTTACATTTTTATACACATGCACAAAAAATAGCATTCACTGTAAACTGTTAAACCTGTGAAGTACAAAACCAAACAAATTTATCCCAGGGAGAGGGACAAGTCCAGGAGTGATTATTAGTTGTCATTACAAAAGCTTTTCAGAGCAATAAATACCCAGGGTGGCGGGAGAGGGGGTAAACCCTGCCTAATGAAAGTGGTGAAAAATAGGATGACAGTGTGAAAGAAGCTATTGTGACACAATAATTTCTGAGAGAAAACAGAATACTCTGTAGTTTCTAAAGCACTTCAGAACTGCACATCCTTGTCAGGACTTGACATTTTAACAGAACGCTTGATTGGATTTAATTTTGAAAGGAAAAATAATCTAGATTTTCATTTAAACAAAAGTAGCCTAGAAAAGCTGATAAAATAACTTGGCAGAAATCTTTAATGCTTTAATGTCTAATTACACTGCCTTACAAAACGCTATTTCAAATCAGCCTTACCCCATCCAGGTGGCAGTGGGCCAAGGGGGTCAAATTCTTTGTTCTGAGTGGAAGAAAAGTCCTGGTTCTGCAAGTCACACAAACAAATGGTGCATTAATAATGGCCAGCTACCATCCATTTGCTTTCCAGATGTTCTAACGCAGCCATCATAAATTATTGAAGTATATATGCATTTTTGTTGATTTTACACATAATTAAAGATGCCAACATTTTTTTTTTCCTAAAAAAAAAAAAAAAAAAAAAAGTGGAAACTGCAAGCAAAGACAGCATGCAGTTATTACAAATCGGTCTTTTCTTTGGCCTCACTTATTCCCTGGTACTAAGCTCTTCTGTTAGCTAATTTTACAGCCCTTGGCATGCCTCATGAACTGCAGAGCCAAGAAAATAATTATCCTTTGTGAAGTGCCCCTGCCTAAGCAGAAGGAAATTAGTACAGTAGTACCCAAAACAATCAGAAAGCAAGCATTCCTGCATACAGTACTCTTTTCCCCACCACTCAGAACCTGCTCTGCTCTTGACAGGCTAGTAGCATTTCAGTTTCTGTAGCCTACTTCAGAGGCACTGCACCTATTGTTATAGGCATTACTCCTGCTATTCAGAGGCAAGCAATACACTTGCAATTCTGGAAGGTTTATCTTCAATTCCTCTGCCTTGATTACATTTATTTCATTTCACCCAGAGTAGAAACATGTCCCGTGAGCCTGCCTTCCTTCCCAGTCTTTGGCTAAGCCATTGCAAGGCACAATATAAATAAAACAGCACTAATTTTATCAACATTAGACATAAATTTTAAAAAGAACATCAGCTATATTCAGCTGTAATATATATTATATATATGCAAAAACCATCACGCTGCCTACAGCCATTGCAAGGACATGGGCCAAGGTTACCAATTATTACTTCATCCCATGCCACAAACTCAAAGCTACGATACATCTCAAGAATAAACTGTAATGAAGCCTGGAATCATTGCCAGAAGAAGTCACCCACAAACAGGCTCAAAACAATCGTATAAACCCAGCTTCAATCTGCAGAAGAGAGAATAATGGGTTCAGAACTCGGAAAAGATGCTTCTCTTAGCTTTTACAGTCAGCACTGCGTTTCTTACCCCATAGATAAACCTCTGATTGAACTGCTGCATCGCTCCTTGAAGCTGACTGCGCTGAAGCTGCCACTGTTCGTAATTTCGGACAGACTCTAACGTTGGCCTCTGCCACGTTGTTGTTCTCGTGAAGTGGTCAACGTAGTAAATCCTCCCCATGTTGTCAACTCGTCGCTCCCAGCTTTAAAAGATTAAAAATAAAATTAGATCTGCGAGTTCTCAAGAGCAGCCAGTTGTAATGGTTCAGCAGCACGTACAGGCAAACAGCCATTACATTTGGAAGCAGACCTGAGGCACAGGCTCATTAATAGATGTGGTTTTCATCTTTTACTCTCCACTAATGCTATGTAAAGAGCTAAAATAACATGTAATCCCCTCTATGTTCTTCCCAACTCAGATTCATTCTAATTCCTGCACTTCCAGTTTAAGCACTGAAAGGTTGAAATCTACCTTTCAAGTGCTACACCAAACACTGTCAATAATGTACTGTTACTACTGCATTTACCCCAGCCAATCTGTAAGACAATAATCTGCAGGCTTCTCATAAAGACAAGAAAAACTCAGATAGCTGAGTGGTACAATACAAGATTTCTTCATGCTCTTTTCAGTAAGTTCAATCTGCTTGGACAGAAATTCTTGTTTGCTGGGGAGAGGGGATTTCCCCCCCCCCACCCTCCCTCAATATTTCAGTCCCCAAACATCAACACTATTTACAAAACTTCACATTTGAAAGGCTTGGGTTGGAAGGGACCTTAAAGACCATCTGGTTCCAATCCAATCCCCAAATTTGAATAACACCACTATGGTTTTGAGTAAGTTTTAATAATACAGTAACAAATCCTCTCAAAATTAAAAAAATGAAAATAATAATAATTGAATACAACAATTAGGTTCCCTTTACTCTCCGCCAGCTTGATTTGTTCTTTAAAATCTAGTTCTCTTCACTGTCCCATGTGCTTTTACTTTGTAATTCTCTAACACATGGATCAGTTAAGCCTGAATGAATTGCAATAGAACAATTGTGTTTTTCTTTCAGTATGGACAAAAAAAAATGAGTAACAAACGAAAGAATATCACCTGCACAAAGTGTAACATCACTGGCTGTTCTAACAGCTGGAAACACCTACAAACTAAAGATTCTTTACAAGAGCATAGTAATTTAACAGCTGGGAATCCTAAGACAAGACCAAAGGACTGTAAGCAATAACCTCAGGATAAATAGGTAACCAAGGGCATTCACGCTCAGGCTAATAGTTGTCTAAATCACAAAATACCCTCCTGTGGTTTTGATTATCTTTCACAGTCAAGAGTGCCCATGTTTTCACCCATTTATCAGCATACATCCACTTGCTTATTCTTTTGACGAGAAATCTCCATTTCATTATCTTTGACATTTAACTCCTTTCCACACTGCAGAGCTCTTTGGAAACAAACTGGATAAATGTTTGCACTCGTTCATGTTGCAATGTACAAATGTGCTTTCCAGCTGCAGTAAACTGAGTCAGTTCTAGATACACCCAGTCCAGGCACATCCAAGGCAATCAGATGCCTTTACATGGCTTACCTTGGAGGAAGAGGCTCTGGCCGATCCCACGTTGTTCTTTTTTCAACATGATCTACATAATATACTCGACCATGCTGGTCCACTCTTTGCTCCCAACTGAAAATAAAACGACACTTAATCACTTCTGTCTCGAGGTGGAATTACTCCAGCCGCTCATCAGCATGAAGGATACAGTAAAAGATGAGAAACGTTTCGTTTTGTAAAGTGCTTCTCTTACTAAAACACTTGAAGCATTTAGAACAACAATTTTTAAATTTTCTGTATAACCACCTTCAGGTTGCGATAAACTAAAGCCAAAATTCATGCATGTGCATGCTGCCTTAGCAAGCAATGTTTTGTATTCAATATCAAACAGATCAGTAATGCATTGAGCAGAATCATCAGTGGAGCATAATCCCCTATTAGATTAATACTCATTTAATTTGAATCTCCAAATTATGCAAACGTTGCACACAGCACATATCAGCAGTTCAGCATAAGGGCACTGAAGTTGCATTTTCTGAATACGCAGCGTTTGGGATGCGGACTTACTCCAGTATTTGTATCAAATGTATCATGGAGGGAAATGCACAGTAATTTACCATTTCTAATGAAATAAAAATGGTAAAGCAACAACTGATGTTTTCAAAATTACTTTCACAGTTATCCTGTAAGCATGGTAATAATCCAAACCCCACCCACCTATTGCTTTAAGTGCAGGCAAATTAAAGCAGGTAATAATTTACCTATTACACCACTCACATTAGGAAGCTTTTGCTTTCCCTCACTCAGAGTACAGAAACAGTTCTATTCTTTAAAGACAAAGTTCAGAATCTAAACAATATCTTTGAGGCAAGGGACCAATCATCTGACAAACTCCACATGGGCATGAAATACCTCACTGTGCCCACATTGCTCTCAAGAGGTGCAATGTATGAACTATGAAATTTAAAGCCACATAGCAGATTATGTCCTGCAACAGTAACTTTCCTTCTACTTATTTACATGTTTCTTACCATTTGACTTCTAATTTGAAGACAGCAAGTTGTCTCACTATTTAAAACCTCTGTTTCACTGACTTAGCAGTTCACAACAAACATCAAAACTACTTAAAATTTGATTCCTTTCTTGATTAAACCATACACACACACACGCCTGAAAGTCTACTAGGTCAAACAGCTTAGAAAACCTTCGCTTTAAAAGCTTTTGGGAATTGTTGTTATGCAGCAAAAGATAGATGTTACATGTATTTTGGTATGCTTAAAAGAAGAAAGCAGAAATGTCAGCTGAAAAATTCATTAAGCTCATACCCAGGTGGAAGAGGACCTTGACTGACTGTAGTTAGTGCCTGAGTTGGAGGATTTACTGGCTGGACTTGTCTTGATACTGGAGGAGTGGTGAGCGCAGCAGTTGCAGGAGCTGTTGTTGCTGCTGTTGCCCCCTCAGGGCTCGGTTCTGAAGATGTATTTGCAGCTGTGCCTGCCAGTGAACCTGCACTGGCCCCATCATTCTCTGTGGACGTGGATGGAGAACCATTGACACTTCCTACGACGCCAGATGTGTCAGAAGAAAAAAAAAAAACTTTACTTGGTATTTCTCTCCTTATTGATAACCTATTTCAGTATCTGTAAGTCACAAAAGTAAACGTGTAGAAGGTGGTAGTTTGAAGTAGGGCACACATACAGCCACATTTCCTACTTCACACAAAAAAATTTAAAAAAGGCAACTTAGCTGCACTCTGTAAAAATGCTTTAGTCCAAGAACTGCTATCAGCTGCACAGCTTTGATATTACAAAGAAAAGAGATTCACCAAAGCAACTTGTTTGCATTCTCTAAACACGAGATGATTCTAAAGAAAAAACCATGTGCTCACATTGATGGATTTCCCAATTATTACTTGCAACAATTCAAGAGGCAGCATGTGCAACATTTTCAAGAAGAGATTTGACACAACGTGGGCAAATTAAGGCTGTGGAAGGGAGAATACATGCATTCTTTAAATGCTTTCAGATGTTTTTCCCCATGCAGGCCATTTGGTAGGCAGTATTAAGAACTGTACACAACTCTTATTACTAAACTACACTGCTTTTATCTTTTCAAATAATTACTGCAGCCTACTTTTCCATCCATCCTCAGCATTTATCAATTGTGACAACGAGATCACCAAAACACACAGTAGTGTATGCATGTGGAGGAGTTAACCTGAAAACACCCAGCATTGGCTTCAAGTTTTGGAGTTTCTAAATTATAAGACAGACTAAAAAACAAATTTGTTTTCATGCAATCAATGTTTGAAGTGCTGCTGTTTCAAATAATTTAACCTGGACTGCAGAAACAAATAACTAATCTTCCAAGCCCCAGCATTATCTACTTGAGACAGTTCTGTAAGTCCTTCAGCAGGTTTGTTCACAGGTCTCATTAAAATTAACCGAGTGCAACAGTAGCACTCACTCATCTTCTTTTGGTACCAGCTCCAACATATTTAGCAGTATCACTACAATCATCACTTATCAGTCATGGAAACAAGAAATTACTCATAAGAGGAACAGTGATATTGAATGCAAACTGTTCAAACAGAAGTTATATACCCAAGAATTTACCACGAAAAAAACTGTAGTTAAAAACATGCATCAGGAAACGTTATGTTCATTTTCAGACTGCACAGAGAATCCACAGCTTTGAGTGGATTCTGGCCCTAGAATACGCACCAGCTGCTGATGGGGGTCTGCGGGGTGTGGGTGGAGGTGGTCTGGAAGGCCTGGGAGGTCGAGAAGGTTTGCAGCTTCCATTGGTGAGTAGTGGAGAATCACTGCCATTAACAGTCTTGTTTTCATTTGAAGCAGCATCTTCAGAGCTTTCAAGGCCATTTGAGTTAGTCCTTTGTAGAAAAAGACAGAAAGGAGAACTATACTAAGAGTCTATGGATGAGAACAAGCTTTATAAAAGAAATGAGAATGTAATAATTATGGCTAGATAAGATTTTTACATTCATGATAATTATAAAAAAAAAAAACAACTACGGGTTTGAATAAACACTCTGAGAATTTACCCGAGGCACACGAGATGAAAACGGAGTGAAGCAGATGTACTAACAGCCGCTGTGGACATCTCCTTTTTCATTACCCAACTCAATACAGCTGCCTTCAGGCCCTCTGCACTTTGCTGCTCAACCTTTTCCTCCCATGAATGCCACTAGTCTCTAATGAGATGGGAAGTTGATTAAGACTGTAGAACAGGCTGTGTGCATTGGCTCCACATGGTAAGCATATGTTCAGAACAAACAGGCGGCTTGAAAATTTTAGACAAATTAACTATGCACACAGATTCTCCCCCTAAGCTCAGTTCTGGATATTGCTAAGAGAACTTAGGACTAAGCATTAAGATTTTGAAGAGGAGCTATGAATTAATAAGCAACATCTCAACTTTTCAAGCACTTAACTTGAAATAGCTGCCTTCATTCACTCTGTGCCAGTCAGTTACACCTAGCAGTGTATTAGTCTGATACATTTGTACCCCATTGAGCGGAGGTAAATGCACCTACACCTTTATGTCTAAAGCATTTAGTTACCTAGTGGATTGGCAGGTCAAATACAGAGGCCATAAGCAATAAAAACACAGGTTTCATTTCAGACCAATGCCTTTAAAATTACATTCTTATAAACACACAGTAGGTAGTAAGTAGGCCTAGTTAAACCACAACGCATAAGAGATCAAGTAGAATCACCCACGTCTGACCTCAATATCCATGTCAAATGTACCTTTGCCCCAGACTAGGTGTGCTACATGTGACAATTTACACCGTGCTACAACCCTGAAGTAAATGACCATGATGTGCAAATCACTGGGGATGTGAAGTCTGCAAGAACTATAGCCTCACTTTCCCTTGGCCCTAGTAAGTACTGCTTCTGTTCGAACTTTACTGTCAGAAGTAAAACCTATTATCTTTTGTGTTCTTAGATCAGGCATTTTAAGACAATGGTGGATACGAAATGTAATTATACACACAGCAGTAAGTGCTGCTAAGTATGTTCCACAGCACTTACATGATCCTCAAAAGGGATCCTGCAGGAGCACCAAAAGCCCTGTGAGATGGTACTAAAACCACACAAGCTCATATTACTGTTACTGGGCATTCCATACCCAAGCACAGAAGCATTTTTCTGAGCAAAAAAAGGAAACACAACTATATAAAACTTCTGTAGGAAGATTCCAGACTACTCCGCTAAGTGAGGTTTAAGTTCTGCTTGCTTACAGATCAACTCAGCTATTCCAGATCTCATCTGAGAGTGCTGCACATTGTACAAATACTTAAAATACTCATAGAACTGGAAACTAATTGAAGTGGCTTGGTCTTCACTGCAGGTTAAATATGGCCACTTTTATTCCACTATGTTGTATGGGACACAATCCCAAATCAATCTTCAAACACTACAACTGTCAGCTTTCGGTATCTTCTCAACAAAGCAAAATAGAGTTCTGATACCTCCGTGCTGTGAAACAGGAATGTAAAAAGCATGCACTGTGGTGTTTATGCACCAGTGGGACTTCCTTAAAGATTATTTTTATTTTTATGCAATCTGATTTATCACCGGGAAATTAAATCTCAAATCTTTTTATTTGGGGATTTTTATTTGTATCCTTGTCTCGAGAACGGAAGCTGCACTCAGCACACAGCAGAAGGAGAAATACTCTGTACTTTGGAGTGAGACAAATGCTTTTCAGACCAGCTCTAAACTGCAGCTCGCTAGCTTTCATTGAGAAAAACAACGCCTACTGCTGCTATGCTCCCTGAAATAGTTCCTCACAGTAGGGGCAGTCAAGTTAAGAGATTCAACCACATGTCCCCAGAACAGAACAGAATTTGCCTGTGACACTGAAAACCTGCACTCAGCTCAAGCATTTTCACAAGAGCTATAAATCCAAGAATAATGTATGTCAAGGGGCTCACAACTGTTGAACTAGGAGTGTAGATTGATGTATGAGAGCCAAAGCAACACCATGCTTATTTCAGTCCTTTTAAGGCAGAAATTTATGAAGCAAGCTGCTGTGGGAGCCAAAATCTTACTGGTCTCATCAACATTAGCACTGTTAACACAAGGTGCTGTCCCCATAACAGAGACAGTAGGATACATGTATACCTCACAACAACACACTTAATTGCTCAGGGAAGATTAATTGAACCTAAATCTTTCCATGCACCCTTTCCAGCTATGGCTCAGTACCTGGGAGTAATTGTAAAAGATGCCAACCGCGTGTGCTGATGGACTCAGCCAAACCAAAGCACCTGTTCTGATGCCAGACTGACAGCCATGCAGCTTTACAACATTTTAAATGAAGCAGATAAAGAAAAATCTGCAAACAGAAGTTACTGGATGCAAAGCCAACTCTCCCACATTATACTGAGCTAGTACTAAGCAGTATTGCTTAATTCTAAAAAAAGGTTCCTATTGCTAGTTATGTTAAATAAACCTGATACAATTAACTTGCTTTTAAAGACAGTTAAATATTTGAATGTACAATAGTATAATTTTTTTAAGGATGTGCTCAGAACTTCACAAATTATTCAGTCATCATGTTTGTAAACCATGCAGTCCCTCATTCAGAAATGCAAACATTAAGTGCAAAAAACAAGGGGAAAAAGTCTTACCGAGCGTCATTTCTTGCTTTGGAGCTGTCACTCTGCGTAGGACCTTAAATACCAGAAATACAAGGACAGCAGCACTGTGAGCAACATTTGGAATCACTTCCAAGCACAAAAAAACACAAGCCTTTAAAGCCCAGACTTCTCTCAAATGCCAAGGCTGTACACTTCTATGCTGCTCATCTACAGGCTTCTTTTAAGACTGCACGTTTCACACCTATGTATGTGTACGCATTTTCTTCAAGCGCTGCCACAAAGTGCAAAACCAGTAACATTTTCATCTTATAGAAGATGTAACACTACCTTCCCCAACTGCATGAATACTGCCAAAGGCACACAGTTCAGTAACTCCCTTCTGTCTCTGTCAGCAGTACCAAGCAGTCATTTTCCCAGTGGAGCTCACTTTTCATACTCTCGACCCTGTTCTGAGGGCAGGCAGAGCAGGTAGGACAACCAGTTCCTCTGAAATCCTCTCTCTGGCTGGCCAGCAAATCCCTGCAGCTGTTTGCTTGAGAACTGGTCTCTCTGACCCAGACCATTCCCTTTCTCTATGCACAAGGTAGCATCAAGGCATTGGAGCAGGTCCAAATTTGGCCGCTCTCCAGAAAGTATTATAGCAATTCAGCTTAGATTTGCAAACGTTTCTCAACTGCTTATTCAGCTACCTTGCAAATATTTGCCTTCTGTACCAGCACTTGCAACATGCAACACTGAAACGCTCACGTGCAGAGCGCAAATACTTCCATTAACAAGGAAATCAATTATCACCTCTGATGGGAACTAACTGCAGCTGTAAGCCAAGAAGTGGGATGTAAACTCTTACCCTGACCTGCTGTTCAAGGAACTTACTCTAATTCCAGCAACACAAACTTAACTTCAAAGGCTAGTCAGGCAACAACGCAGGCCAGTCAGTGCCCTTGCACTCTAGAACACGTTACACTGAATCTTTTTAAGATCTCTCCCTTTTCTCATCTGCTTCAGACACCTCATCCTCTTGGAATCCTCTGCTCAACTACTTTCTAACACTCGCCCTGCACTCTGCAGCACAAAACCGTATTCAGTTCCACTATCTGCATGACTTTTCCTACTTACCAGCATTTTTCTCTCAGTAGGTTAATTTAAGGAAATGGTTTCCAACTGTGCTTTTACTTCTTCCAAGTACTGCACCTGAGGGAAATGTTACTTTCACCTCAGCCTTGCTCTGCAAGCCTCACAGTACTTGGGCTTTCTTTAGAAAAAGCAAAACAAACAACAAAATCACACTCCATAGAGCACGCAATCAATCTTTTTAGCACAGTTACATATTCGGATGCAATCAGAAACTGTCTTCATTTAGTCCTTCAAAAAACAAAAACACCTTTCTGACACAAGCCAACTCATTGTCCTGCTGGTTTCCACCACAGAGAGCCTGTTTGATCCTGGAGAAATCACCTCCCATCCAGTTCTAGTCTGCACACTGCGTCACCCTCAGAAATGCACCTCTGTCTGCCTCAACCAAAGGAACTGCAATGCCTTACTTCTATTTTAACGTAATTACACAATTCACACTTACTGAAGACTCTCAGTTAAAAATTATCCTTGTTATCTGAGACTTAAGATACCAATTAAATGAAAAAAGAGTGGATCTCCCCCTCCAGCAAAAATCTGCAAGCATTTCATTTAGATATCTAACAAAAATTCAATATAAAGCTGTTTCCTAGCCAGAATGCTTACTATTATGAGACTAAATTTATCCATTTTATATTGCTTTTTTGCTTATAGGCTTAGGAAAATTGGGGGAAGCTAAAAGCCTTCGTTAAAGTAAGGCACAATGGTAGCTCGTAATTCCTAGATAAAGCAAGCAAAGTTCAGAAAATTAAGGTGCTGATCTTGTTTGCATTACAGTCATGCTGATAATCTTTGCTGATTATGACTCCACTGCAAATAAAAGCACATAAAAGCTCTGGTCTCTACAAACACCAAGTTAAATAAACCACTCGTTACCATTACTAAAACACTGCATTCAAGCATTCAGTAAAAAAAAAAAAACCAAAACCTTTGTATACCAGATATTATATACATTGTACATTTAAGCTGAAAGTCACTTACTTCTTGTACTTGAGGCATCACCATTGGTCAGGAGCTCAGGATCTACCTGCATCCCATCTAGACAGACAGACAAATCTCCTACCACTTCTGCTGGCTCTCTGTCACCAAGAAGATGCAGTGTTACCACTACCTGATCAACTGAAAAAGAACAAGAAAGTCAGGGTTTACCTTAGTATATAATGAAAGAGATCACAGCAATCAAGAAAAAATACACAACTTCTGCTTGCACTCTGCATAATTTCCTACACCTTGCGTGGTGCAGCTATCATTCCCACGTGTCAGCAAGCTTATTATTTCTACAAAGTAGGGAGAACTAGAGCACAAGCTTTTTGCTGCCTAAAGAAAGGTGTATCTTTATAGGAGAAATGCAGCCTCTGGTTTCTGCCCACACTTCTTAAGCAATTAATAGACCTGTCCTTGATGAGCTATAGACAGAAGATGTAATTCACCTCATTCTTCATGCAGAACAGCTACCAAGTCTATCTTGGAGTAAAACATAGCACATTTATTTAGTGACATGTAGTTTTGCATTTTAAATGTGGATTCTGTGTCACATCCCTAAGTCAGAGGTACTTTGTGGGTACATCCCAGTTCTTGGTTGAAATGCCTGAATCAGTATCCAGCACCATACAGCATGACACCCACTGTTACACAGAGCAGTGGAGTTATAATTTTCAGCTACAATCACAACAGGACAGTGACTGTCAGCAGAAAAACGTATTACATTGCTATCAACATGCTGCAATTTGAGTGCCCACATCTGAAAGTCAGGAAGCAAAAGTCAGAACAAGGATGAGAGCACATCAGTATATAGCAGTATATAGCAAGACAATTTGATAATGGGTGTGATGATCCACTTGGAAGCTCCACAGTGCACGTACTGCCTCAAAGCTAACTGGTTCTAAGACACATTAAATGGTACAACATACACTACTTCGAACATCAACAACATTCACTCACTTTCTCCTCTAGCACCAGGTATGTATCTGTTTTTAGGCTATGTAAAAGGAACCACTCTTTCATTACACTTTCACTCCTGCACATAAAAGCAAAGTGAAAAACATCAGGCTTCCATTGACACCACAACAGGTTGTGTATAAGGAAATAAAGATGGTAACAAAAGATTGCGAAGATGCTCAGAAATGCAATCTGTAGCAAGAAAAGGAACACTTAATGCCCACCACAGCGTTACACACTGCACTCAAACTTGTACTTACGTTTCATACTGTTTGATTTCAAAGTCTCATGAATATCCAGGGCAGCACTTCCCAGGAGGACATCAGACTTCAACGTTTGATGGCTCCAGACTCGAAAGGTTAATTTACTTAGAGGAGTGACAATTCTGAAAAGAAGAAGGTAAGCACTAGCGTAAAGGTTTTGGGTGAACTGAGCAATGTACATCAACTGTCACTTAAAAATTATTTTAAAAAGCAGAGTACAAACTGTGGCACTGTGAAAAGCCTCCTCTGGCTGATAAGGTCATAGAACCACAACGCTGGAATCTGTGCCCAGCATGCAGGCAGCTCCATTTGTCTGCTGGTGGCAGAGACCGTGAGTGTCTGCTCCTAGAGAAGCCACCAGCAGGGCCACATTCTGAAGCTGACAGCACTCTACCTTGTGCTGTGAGGCCCTCCACTCCCAAACTGTCAGCACTTACATACTGAGAGAGCCCCTTACTGAAGAAGGAACATATGCCAATGCAATTATCCTTTTTAGACAGCAGTTAGTTACTGTCTCCCCTCTATCTCCAAAACAGGCTTAATCAAACCATGCTAACTGCTGTATTTCTAAATGTGGCTTGGAATTTTGCAGGAAGGCATTTTGGTGGTATGGCGTACGTGAGCAGGAAAGCCCTGGAGAATATAGGAGCTCTCACAGTGAAAAGAAAAGCCTGAAAGCCTAGACTTTTCTTTTTCCTTTATAGAAGTATTCTGACAACAGCAGAAAGAAGAGCACCACCAAACACCTGATGACATTACAGTTAAAATAAATGGAAGCTGCAGATCTTTTTTTTAATATCACTGCTTCATACCTCCTGTCATCTCACAACACAAACACCAACTCTGTTCCTTCTTGAAACTAATGCTAGCTTTGTACTTTGTACTATAAATGCAACAGCAATTTTGTGCTTGTGCCTGAAGTGGGAAGTGATTATAGCCAACTAGCAGTGCTACAGCATGCTGCAGGACACTGCCACACAAAACTACACTTTTCAGCCACAAAAAACTAACCTTAATTGTGACAATCAAAACATGAATGGAACTGTCAGCTTCACCAGATTACCTTCACTTTCCTACTATTTACACGATTAGAGCTGAGTTCTTACACTACAGACATTGCTACAATTCCTTGTAAGCACTATGTCTTTTCTGTAGGACACAATGCAATGGTTTTATAAGGACATAGGTTGGAATGGAGTATATTAGCCCTCAGAAATTCTCTCTATCCTGTGCAATGCAAAACGCCTCGTCTAAAATAATAACACAACCCACCCTTAAATCCACAGTCAGTTGCACAGCACTAATTTAACTCAAACTAGAAAACAAAACCATCAGACATACACTGTAAGATGCTGTTTCCACTTTGGACTATTTGTGTTGTTGCATTTTTCTGTCTTCTTTGACTGTCCATCTACTGAGACTTCCACATAAGGGCTTGGTCCAAACCACTTATTTTTTTCTTTTAGTTTTGCTGAAATAACTGTTAAGAAAGAGAAAAGTTATAATCGATGACTGAATATTTCAACATCAAATAATATTTTTCAGCTGGTTACTTCAGTATTCAAGTATGAGATCGCTGATGGCTGACAGTAATGCTCAGGAGAGAAAGCACACGTGGAAAACAAATGTGTTTGCATTTCAGGTTATTTTGTCCAGCGTTATATCTCACACAAAAGTCTAAAAACATAGCAGTACTTCTTCCACTGCATCAGACACCATGGCTGATAATTATCAGTTTTAGATCCCCAAAAGCATTTCAGTGCTGAAAGCAGAAAATATCACCTACAGCCTACCTAACCTGCTCCCTGTCCCCAGCCAGGATCATTCCCACAGTTTTTTACACTTGCTTCTGATAAAGCTGGAAACACGATCCATCTTCCTCACTAATGAACCCTGGACAAGTGCCACTGCTGGTGATGAGAAGATGTTTAAGAAAAGGAAAGTTCTGTTGAGTTTTCTGTATCAAAGCCAACTGACACAAAATCTAACAGGAGGGCAGTTTGGAGCTCTAATAACTACCTACTGTTCTACAGCAAAACTTGGACGGGACTTGCAGCTCTAGAGCTTTTCTCATGCTAGTAAATATATTCTTTATATTAATACCTGGACAGCAACATAAACTTGAAATTTTCATTTTTTTAAACATTCAACATCAACTACAGTAGTCCTGTCTTGCCAAACACCAAGTGCATTGTCTTGATTTGCTCTGCATGTGCCCACCCCAATGTTTATTTGGCTCTTAGATAAGGAGAGTTCTTGGATTCTTTGACAGCACTCAGCTTACAAATCAGTACTCACAACCAGCGGCCAATGAACCCTGCTCTGTTGCTACAAGTGTCAGTCTGGTCTCTTGTATTTTCATCACTACTTAAGCTGCACTACATCATTTAAAAAAGATGATCAATTCAAGCCCATATGCCTAATCTACCTATATTCCTTTTATAGTCTATGTTTCTTTAGAGACTTAGAGAAGTAGCTTAGTACAATCTGATCTGAACTGCTCCCAAGGGAAGCTCTCTCTCTTTATGAGCTCTCATTGAAATTAGTTCTGTTAGCTGGCACTGATCTTCAAGAATTACCTTCCCCTGATGCCTCCAGTACCTGGATACTGCAGCAATTCATGCCTCAACATCACTAGCTGCCTCAAAGACATCAAGATCTGATTTGACTCAGCACAAATCAGCAGTCCTGTGCCTACTTTTGAGGTTCTTACTTACCAGACAACCTGAAAGTTCATTTGAAGCTAACTGAGAACAGCAGAATGGAGAGAGAAGGGAGAGACAGATGGGGACTGCTGTTTACTGAACTAGGAGAAAGCAAAATCTGCCTGCACCAAAGGAAAGTTTTGCAGACTGTGGCTAAACAAGAAAGAAATTAAGAAATGAACATCATAATTGTCTTCATCCTAAAGATGAAACAATTCTTTCCTTTTATGTGCCTTTAACGCAGCAAACCTCACACAGGCATCACTCCTGTAATTCTCAGCTAGGTTTCCCTTGGCTATGGGAAGACACACCGCCCTTGAAACCTCTTCAATTCTCATCTCCAATATCAATCTGCAGAAAAGAGATTTTTCTTCAGGTCTCAAACTTCAGTGAGAAAAATCATGTTTGTGTCCTCAAAGTGACAGTGAGGGCAGCACAATTTATTCACTTCTCTTCTTCTGTTTTGCCTGAAGTTTTCCCATCTGTTTATGACAATTCCTTTCATTTGCACAACTTCTTCACATATCCCCACCTTGAGGGTGCAAAGTTTAGCCCTAATGCTTCTAAATACACACATGCATATACCCACAGACCTTCCATTCTCAGGCTTTAGCTTTCACACTTGAGTAAAATTTGTCAGTCAGAGAGCAGAGAAACCTGCTAGGTTTCAGCAGTTGTTCTGTTGTGTGGCACTACAAAAAGCAAAGCACGGCCATGTAAATCCAGTCCTATGCAATCTACAAGTCCTCAATTACACTAACACCCCTCATCACGAATGAAAACATTTAACAGTCAAATGCAGTAAACAGCAGTGCAAATTCACTTAGTTTAAGATGTAAAAACGATTGTGAAATTGTTAAGATTCGGTGCTGTGCCAGCTGTTAGCAACAGAAAGAAGTTTTATTATGTTGTTACATTTCAAACAGAAGTTACCCAGTTCTCTCCTACTGTTCTGTACAACTGACTTAATGCTACTCAAAAATAATCATTCATTTCTTCATTCCTTACATAAAAAAGTATAATTTCAAAACAGATTGTGATAAAATCCTACATATTTCTGCCAAGTCACAACTTTGTTACACCGTCAGTTTTATTTTGCTACTTCTCGTGGACTCTGCATTATTAAAAGCTTGCCAAAACACAACATGCTACTATAATTACTCTTTAATTACTGGGAGACAAACAAACAAATGAAAATTTTTCCTTGTACGTTTTTGATTGGAAAAGATACATAATAACAACTTACCAGTGATCTGAAGCTGTGATTTCATATACAGCCCACCAGGTAATCCTGACTTGGATCCAGTGCCAGCCATAATATGGGCTGGATCTTGAACCTGGATAAAGAGAATGTCAACACATCAATCCTCCAACACTCAGAAATGATTTCTTTTTCTTTTTTTGATGTGCAGACGCATTACAGTGCAAACAACACTGCCACAGTCGTTCTCTTTCTAGTTTCCTTCCCTTTCTAAAGTACCAAACGTGGTTCATTAAGGGCTTAGCCTTTACCCAACGTGATCTGTAAGCACTCATGTCCTGACCAACAAGATCTTCCGATCTTGTCTCCTCACTTGCCCATCAACTGTGAGAACAACATTCTTATGTTACCAGTGTTTGCTCTTCTGTCTGAAATATTGCTTTTATTGATATCCTGAGTCCTGGGGTAAGAAGTTATTGCAGTTTGAAAAACTCAAAAAGCTATCAAACAAATCCACAAGCACAGAAGAAAGAAATTATGAAATTAAAAAGTAAGCTTAGAGAAACCTGTTTCTCTAGTCTTTTGTCTCCATTTGGTCAGACTGAGGATACGGCCTGGGGCTGTAATTCCAGAACACTGAAGAGGAAACATTGCCTCTGGCAGAGGATGAGACACCCTTGCCCAGCCTTCCCTCTCAGGGCAGTCTGCTCTCCTGACCCTCCCAGCACCCTCTGCACATGGCACTAAAGCAAACTGGTATTCCTGCTATTCTTTGAACTCATGCACTCAATTCTCTATTTGGTTTTCAGGGATGGGGAAAAGCAGATGGGGCCAATACACATCACGTAGCTTTGACGTCTACAGACAAATTAAATAGCATGCTGCTATATTCAGATACAGATTACTCCGAAGTATCCCGACATCCTTGCTCAGACTCACTGATGCAGCCCCTCTGTGCCACATCCCCTCCCTGTGCCAACTCCTCACTGCCTGCTGTGGTCAAAACCACTCATGCATGCAATGTGTCCATCTGAGCTCCATCTGCTGCCCACCTTCTGCTCAGCCTCTGGACCTGTGAGCAGCACCGACCCGGGCATCTGCAGCATGCAGTGCTATTGCCAACAAGGAAAGTCAGGTTAGCTGAGCGGCTCCGTCAGAAGGACACAACACTCCACGCGAGGTGTTCCCAACTGCATCACCACAAGCAGCCTAAACCTCCTCTACATTCTGTGCAAAACACAGTTTGAGAAAGGAGGCCACATTTGAGTAACACAAGTTTCTGAAGCTGCGGTGCAAAGCCAAAGCCTGCGTACTGCGATTACTGTGAAACTGTACTTCCACAGAGGAATTTCAAGAGCGACTGTATGGAAAGTTCTTACTTGCTGCAGATGCACAGAGCGGTGTCAGCCACACCACCAAAAAGAGTACTACCAACTTGCTCAAATACACTGCGTTATCAGTGGACTTCAGGACTTTTACACTAAATTCCTGCTGCGAACAAATCTAAATCTCGCAAGGGTGAAAATGTTTTTAAGAGAAGTATTTTAGAAATCTTCTCAATTTACAAGACTTTCAAGGACAATTCTGAAGCCTGTTCCTGTGATGAGCTCTGCCAAGCTACATAAGCTTTGTGCTTTAAGAAAGCAGATAAATGAAGCATCCAGACCAGCACTGCTGTTCTTGGCAGCCCAAAGGAGGCTGAATTTGCAGAATTGAAGTTTTCCTGGAGAAAGAGCACTGCACATAACAAACACAACTACTGAAGGTGAGGATTAATTTACATTTGGAACCACACAGTAAGCACATACAGCAGAAGCACACGTTAAAGCTTATTTTTTCTAAGCCTGCAAAATACGCTCAGTAAAATTAATGTATTAATATTCAACCATTTTCACTGAGAACATAGGGAAAAAGAAAATCTATCAGCTTAATCCCATCAGAAATGACCATCCTGCACACACCTGAATCCATCTGAGCTGCCACATGCACATACTGGCACTTACACAGCCCAGCCTGCAGGTCTTACTGGTCAGCACAAGTCACATTTCAAGAGCCTGCCAGTATTTCTAAGGATAAGAAACCATGTTATACAGAGCTTAGTTCTCTCAACTGCCATTAAGCTCCTAATTACTGTTCAACAACAATCAAGCTGAAGAATCTTATCTTATTGCTTATGTACCAATGAGGCACACAATCTAGAATCCATTAGTCAAGAAACTACTGTATGAGCAGCAATTTTTTCACGATAACTGCACAAACTTCTAGCACGAAAAACCAGCCTAGGGAGACATAAAAATGAAAACTGCAATATTGAACAATTATAAAAATATTTCCATTTTGTTTTATTGCAGTAGGGAACAGTACTGAGGGTTCTGAAAGAAGGGAATGTGTCTGTTAAAGTACCTGGATGTGAGTGAGCAGGCAGGCACAAAGTAATGACTGCCACCAAGCACTGTGACTGCCCTGCACTTTGAACCCTGTGCCAGTAAAAGGGAATATAATGACTGCTTCCAAATGATGTTATAAATCATCAGTTAATGAACAAAATATAATTCAAGGCATTACAACTCAAGTATTTCCACAAGTTGAAAATATTCCAGCTGATCTGAGAATGCCTACTCAAGCCTTTTCTACGCAGTAGGAAATTTTGTCTTCATTAATAACTAGCTTTGTTTTTACCTTTCTTTAATTACATTAAGATCACGTTGCCATTTTTCACCTAGATGCAGCTGCCCATTTCCAAGGAGCCTACCAGAACATGAAATTTGGGAACATGTGTTGACAGGCTCAAAAGCTGCAACACAGAGAAGGCAGGCAGCAGGAAGAGCACAATCACATAAGCTTCACTTCCGTAAGGGCTGAACCCACCTACACAAATCAATTAGTGTATGAAAAGATTAAGTATCACACAACAGGGATGAGTATGTCCTGTCAGTATAAATAATCACTCAAATGCTTGTCCCAGTCACTGATGGCTACACGTACCCTCCCAGATACATTTATTTTTGCCACAGGCCACAGGAAGGCGTAATCATGGGACAGCATATGCTGCACTGAACTATGTATGCACTTGTTGATTTTAAACCATCTGACAAACTTCAATTTTAAGCAGCCCAGAATTTTCTGTTGTACCCAAAGAGATGAAAGACAGCTTTCATCCTGTTTCTTTTGTGCATGCACAATGAATTGGGAATTGTCATTGTTTGAAGAAGGCTTGCAGTGAGCGCAGCATTAGATGCATCGGCCAGCACCACTTCAGAAGTTCACATTTCTTTCCCCTTCAGAAGGACGAGCTGACTGGGATACAGATGGCGACATGAAGAAAAGAACACAACCAGGATCTGACAAAAGAACACAACCAGGATCTGACAAGCAGAGCCTGTACCCAGAGAACACGGAGCTACGGCTTCCTCCCAGCCCTGACCCGGAACCCCTCCAGCCAGGAGCCGATCTGCCCCGTCCCTTCCTGCAGCCATTTCATGCTCTGCACAGCGACCTGCTCCTAATGCACTCCACTGACACACTTCATAACAAAATAAAATCTAATGTTACTGTGATTCCAGCCAGATTTCATTAGGTTTTTATCAGGTTAATAACTACTTGATGCTTCCAGTGCTCAATGTAAAAGTGCGTTGTCTCTATTTTGAAGAGAGCAGGAAGAAAAAAAAAAACACAAAAAACCCTACACAATTGGTTTAGTTCATGGTAAAAAGAAATGACACGGGCAGCTGCTGCCACGTACAAACAGCAAGAACACTTATTGTACATTTCGCAGCAAGACAAACTGTGGTCACGCTCAGCTGCAGAAGGCCATCCCTCACCGCGTGCTCAGACAGGCTGGCACCAGCACGGCTTAGAACAAACTTACTCTGCAGTCACACCTTTGGACCTCACTGCTTCTGGGACTCTGTTCTTTGAATTTCCACCCTAGCCACAGTGCTTTCTCCAAAGCCTCCCTATGGCATGGTGTGCTCTTAGGGCAAAATGCATCATCCTCAAAGGTATTTTAATCCATGACAGCAAAGTTCATCACGAAACTTTCTTGCTTGCGCGTGAATGGTGCAGAAGGAAGAAATCCTAGAGGGACACAGCCCAGACACTACCAACACGTTCAGAAAACAGATGGGAGGTGAGCAGAGCCTTATTTTTCTTTTAACAAATCATGAGAAAGAGTAGAAAGAAAAGCAGCATTGAGTTCATGGTTGGAGCAAAGCAAGGAACAAACGAGTTTCTTACCCTGCAAATCCAGTGGGTATAAATAGCAGAAGAAAAGCTAGCAAAGACTAGAAAGCCCTTCAGAGGGTTACTGTGGGACCTTCATTCATGGATGGGAATCATTAAAGGATAGGCGTGCTTTAAAAGGTAATTTTATTTCACGTTCATTTGAAAGTACAGAAGACAACAGGGTGAGAACAAAATCCTGTGACTATCATACATGCATAGCTTTGAAAATATGTTGGCACTCACTCATTATAATTAAAAAAACTGAAATAACTGCACAGTCTGCTGCTGGAAAACTGATGTTTGTTAACTGTAAGAACACAGCCTGCTCTACATTTCAGAGGTGAACTGAGTCAAAGGGAATTTGCTATTTCCATGAGCCAGTCAAAAAATCTGCAATAAGGAAAACATTTCTTTAAGATACTGATGTTAACAATGGGTGTTGAAAACAGAGGAAAACAGTGTAAGGAAAACAGCCGGTGTACAGAGGAATACAAGATTCTGGAAAAAGTCTCAGTTATGAGACATTTTATTTAGAAAGGCTGTATATAAAGTATGCTGCTTTTATGACAGCTGTTTCTTTTCTTTTCTGTATTTTTTTTAAACAATTGACACATGATTCATGTACCTGTACGTGAATTTCAGAGACAATTCCCAGTGTTGAGTTTGTGTCAACATTGGACATGTTTTCTCTGTAAGGAATTGATACACACTTCTTCTCTTCCCCCCTAAAACACCGAAACCTGTATTTAACTGTAGGCTGTCATACGGCAGAAAGGTTCTTTTCTCTCAAATGTTACTTGTAACTACCCAGTAAGGCTAAGCAAAACCAGCAAGTTTGGCAACTTCTTGCTTTGTAACTTGGTAGGTATTTGAAAATTTCAAGTTTCAAAAAGTGGTTTCACAAAGCTGTTT